GCCAAATGACGCAAACGTTACGCCGCGGCCGAGCATATTATTTATTGAGACATTCCACGCGCAATTGGCTTATTTCCTGCCAGTCTAATTCTGGAGCCGGCTTAACTGCACTTTTGTATTTGACGAAAATAATCACGTGCCGCTCCAATTCATAGCCCAATCGTTTATAATATTTTACTTTTATTAATAGAAGTGAACAAGGAACAACTCCGTGCCATTGTTATTCAAATATTTGAGTGCAAAAAAATAAAACACGGCACGTGCTCGGGATAATGAAATGGATATCGTGCGCGGTGCACGTTTTTCGGCCTGTTGTGGCAGCTTAATTATTCAGGCAATTAGTCCTGCAATCGGATTATACAGCACCGGAAACCGGCACCACACGCGCCCAATCAACGGATACATAGGCAGACATTTATCCACTCCAAAATTACATTACCTTGTTATGCAATTTTCTGCTTTGTAATTTTGGTGTTAGTGGAAATTAATTAACGGCCTTGGCTTTTATACGAGAGCGGTGCTGAGAAGATTGTTTGCTTACTCGGCGCTTTCTCATGCTCCAAAATGATGTTTACGACTTAAGCTTAACAAATTGCGTTTTATTTTGACTGGCCCTAGACAAAATTAAGCAATCTTTAATTGATTAAATAATAAATTGATTCAAAAATATTACAACAAATTTGCAAGTAATATACTATAAATCCCTAATTATAGTAAAGAAAATTGTTTGAGCAAATATTAAATGAAAACTCCTCTGCATTAGCATGTGAATTACTAAACAGCAGCCAATCGCTGATTGCGCCAAATAGATCGAATTGCGCTGTAAAGGGGCGAACGGAGCCGGGCTTTTCAATTAGGCGCGCGATGTGTGCTGAACAAAGCTTAAGCACGCGAAAACATTTTAATTAAAGGCAAAATCGCGTGGGGCCGTAAAATTTTACGACACTGCAGAAGTTTTTATGGCCCTAGAGAGGAGGGCTTTTGTCTCTTTCTCTCTGCCCCATCTAATGGAATTAAAATTCAATTGATTGTGTTCTTACTGATCAGTTGGAGACACAGCATGATGACGAATCCGAGCATGATGGCGATGAGCTGGAAGAAGCCGGACTGCGTGTTGGCGCGTTCCCTCTGCAGCACCTCGAAGAACACCACGTAGACGAGCGTCCCGGCGGCCATGCCCTGCAGGACGACGGTGGCCGGCGTCAGGGTCGAGTGGTTTTCCGCGTTCGAGGCCACGATGATGCCGATTCCGATGCCCAGTGGCGACACGATCGCGAACGTGGCCACGTACAGAACCAAAAGACACTTGCGCGTGCCAGAGTTCATGAGTTCGACGCCGACGCAGAAGGCGATGACCAACTTGTGCGTGGCTATGGCCGCGAACAGGTACCACACGTTGGCCACGCTCATCTCCAGCCCGACGGCCAGGCCTTCGAAGACGGCGTGAAAGGACAAGGCGAGGACGGCCAGCAAGCCTCGGAAAGATGTCGCCACCGTAGATTTGTTATCTTCAGAAGCGTTCAGCACTGGAATGGAGTGAGAGTGGCCGTTGTGGTGGTGGTGCTTCCTGGTCGCGTTGCCCTCCTCAGGAAGGATGGCGTTGGAAACGATTGCCAGGGGTCCTCCGGTCATTCGAGCTTCGGCATCTAAGGCTGAAGGTTTGTTTAGATTCAGGGTGGAGTTGGCGATCAAACCTTGCGTTGAACTGCCAGAGTCTGTGGTCTTCCCGCTCAGGGAGACCCTGGGAATCAGGTTCTGCGAGTTTCCGGACGCATTGTCCGACTCGGGGTGGCGCCCGCACTTGCGTATGGACATGGTCCTGTGGAGGACGGCCTCGTCGTCCTCCTCGTGTCTCGAGTCGAGGCAAACGTGAACGAGTTCTTCGACCAGGTAGACGAAGAAGAATCCGCAGCAGAAGATCAGTTCGGCCAGGTGGATGTGGCCCTCGGGGGTGGGCAGCTCGCCCTTGCGCTGCAGATGGGCCACTCCCTCGCGCACCTCAGGTTGCAGGTGCAGAAAGGTGGTGTAGAAGAGGACGCCGCCGCCGAAGCACAGCAGCAGGGACAACACCAGCTGGGAACGTGTTGCCGTGAACTCCCACCGGAGCCACTTGGCCAGCCGCAGGGGCAGCACCCCGAGGAGGAGGCTCGACGCCCCCAACACCACCATGGCCACCACCTTGGCCACCATCAAGTCGTCAACCACGTGACGGTGCTCGTGGTGCTCGTGCGTCTCCATCGCGAAAGATGTGCTTCTTCAGACGGTCCGCCGACAACTGACTCTCGCCGCTCCCGCCTCCCGGCTCCTCCACCACAGCAGAGCAGAGCGCAGAAGGTGCGCGCGCGCGCCTGCCTCACTTTTCCGCCGGCCGGCAACACGGGCTTTCCGTCAGGGCTTTATTATTATTGGAGGGAGCGAGGCATGATTAACGCTGCTAACTCTTTCCTTTTTTTCTCTCGGTTACAGGAACGAAAACGTGAGCGGCGTTTTATTGATTTCTCAGTCTTGTTATTTTTAATTAATGAAAAATGTCACAAGCACAATATTGATTTTAATTATTCAAATTTGACGGGATCAAAACCAAACTCTCTGTATAGCGTTGATATTTATTTAAGCTTCAAAAAAGTCAGCGTTTTGGTGATTTTTTATAATCTTGAAATTAATTTATAGTTGCGGGTTATTAATAACTTTTTAAAGTAGCAAACAAACGTTATTTCAATTCAAATGTGGCACTTACAGTATTTTTAGTAGATTTTCAAAAAAATTGTAAAAAGTTTCACTCGAGTATAATCTATAATAAAACAATATTTAACAATCAATTAATTAAAATGCAAATAAATTTTGTAGAAATATAAGAAAGAATTTCCATAGAACAATTATCTTCAAATTTGAAAATTCAAATCAATTTGAAGTTTTCATAAAATTATAATGCAATTTAAACTTAAAAATTGCATTTTCTATAGATAAGAATTTGTTAAATCTTCTTAGGAATGATCAAAAGAAGCGAAGAGACTGTTGAGGACAATGTCATTCAAACAGAGAACATAATATCTCGTTTCGTCGGAGAGATGGTGTGTGCGAAAAAGGCGACCATGCGTGGTGGTGTGTAAGGCAAGATGTGCGTCCCCGATGGGTATTTATTAAAGCTGAGGAGATACGCGATCTGCAAGCGAAATAATATTCCGAGGCGACCTTTGGGATCGGCTATGGCGACGCGACCACCCTCGGGAGGCCCAAAGAGCGCCGCAATAAAATATTCGTAATAAGGCACTGCGCTGGGAAATGAGAAAAGCCCGAGGAAAAAGCAGAAAAATGAAATGATGTGGATTTCATTTGGCGGCGCGCGCGGCCTCGCCCGCCACGGCAATTATATTTATAACCGTGGATATGTTTGAACTGCAGAGACGCGGATCAATTTGTTTTGTTGTATCAAATCTTGGCAAATAGGTTTATCTTTCATTATGTTATTGAAGCACGCACAAGTTTTGATTTGCGGTTGAGGAAGAAATGGAATTTTGCGGTAATCGATAAATTTTAAATTAATTTTAAAAAAAACGTAGAAAATATTGCAAATTATTTCATATCAAAGAATTTATTTTATTGAAGATTATTTTCACAAATTTTTGTTGAATAAGCGAAAACGCGCTCCATCCACTTACGATACTAAAACTGGGTAATTTCATTAGAAATTTACAGCAGAGCAGAATGTCCTCTTGAATTTGTGCAACTTTCATGTTTGCCTTTTCATGAATGCCGACAACTTTGAGTAATTTAGCAAGGCCAAAAATTCTAGTAGGCGCCGCGGCTTTTCCGCTTCGGGCCAAACACACAGCAAAGTTGGGCTTGAATTATGCAAGCGGGCTTTTGTGAGTCCGCAGAGAGAATTTGGCGCAGCGAAATTCTGATGAAAACGGCGAAAACCAGCGGCGCCGCGTTGCACATTGAAAGGGCGCTCGTTTTATTCGCAGAATTACAAGCTTTTGTGCGAATTACGCCTGCGGTGGTACTTTTTGTGTTTAAAAATTGCTCCAGGCGTTAAAAACGAACATTAATTAGTCACTTTTAATCAGCAGATTCGTCTCTCAAGTGTGATTAATTCGCAGAAAAATTCAGGAAAAAAAATTGGTTTGTCAAAATGCATTATTCAAGCTCTTAATGAAATGATCTATAGAAAAAAAAATTAACGTTAAACTACATTTTAAATTTTTTTATGAATTCTATTTAAATTTTCAACAATGTGCGTTTTAAATTGAAAAATCTCAGCCAACAATCGAATTCATCTGAATTTAAAATAACAACCGATCAACAACATGAATTTATCAACAATCGACCCTGTCAATTCCATAACTGCCGTTTGAAAAGTCTCTCATTCTTGGTTGAGCAGCCGTCGCAGAAAGTTCGTTTTTTTCAAAATGGAAAAAGCGAACTGCCCGAAACGTCGAGCAAAGAACGCAGGCGAGCGCATCAGGAAATTGAGGAGCAAACCGGCCGGCGAAAAGCCGACTAAGTTAGCCGTCGACCAACTTCCGCTGGACGACATCAGTCCGGGAGAGGCCAAAAAAGTCGTCAGCGAAAAATACGAGAAAGTCTTGCAGGAGATCAAAAACTGCGACCAGTTCCTGTGCCCGAGAAGGGAAAAGAATTTGGATTGTGGCGACGACGAAGGTATAATTTTAAAAATTTTTAAAAGAATTCTTGCGAAATTTTAAATTTGAATAGAGACGACGTCAGAAGACGACGACGATTTGCAAATCGACGAGGAAATGAAGTACGAAATTCGCTGCTTGGATGACGATTTGGACAGTTCCAAAGAAGTTGAAGAAATTTTCTTTGAGGCTCGTCAGCTTGCAGTGCAGGATCAGGGGCAGGAAATTGCCTGTCCCGCTACTGTTGATCGAGTTCCAGAAAAGGAGGAAGAGGCAAAAAGTGAGGGTGATTTTGTTGGAGAGATTAAGATTGAGACGGCTGAAGAGGAGCTGTTGCTGACTGTGGAAGAGAAACATGACGATTCCGCAAATGGTATTTTTTTTCAATTACTTTAATTTTTAAGTAAAAAAGGAATCAGAAGTGAACGAGGACACCAAAGAAGAGGAGAAAAACAAGCTGGCCGACGAGGTCGAAATGGACCTCAGCAATTCCGTCAGCGAGGCCTTCATCGAGATCGTGTCCGACGAGTTCTTCTCAACAAACGAAGACACGACTGAGGATTATCTGGGCATTTTTGACGTTTCGCCGCCGCCAAAGTTTACCGAGATCAGCAGCGACTGGAGTTTTGAAACAGACTCCCCTGGCTCGCAGTACCTGAGCAAACTGGAGGCCGAAGAATCCGTCTCTCCGGACAAGAGACAAAATAGTGACACCCTTATGGCGTTTGAGGAGCGTTTGATGTCCGAACCTGACGAGGTATTTATTAATAAAGTAATTAGAAATCATATAGCAATGGGAAAAAATAGATGGGCTAAATTTTTTTATAAAAAGTCCAAATATTAAATATATATACTTACCTATTATGAAAAAGTTAAAATTTTCTAGAATCGCTGGAATTAATTTATTTAATGAAAATTTTAATTTATTTATTAGAGTACACAAAGCAACCTCTTGCCTAAAAGTTGGAGGTAATTTTTAACTATTAATTAAAATTTTATTTATACTGTATTTTGTATTATGGAACCGAAATTATAGCAATTTTTTTAGTCCTGTAAATAAATATTTCTTTTACTTGTTTCAGGAGTTGAAAAATGACATAAGCCACCTGAAGCCAAAAGAAGTTGCAAGTGAAGTCAAGACCCCTGACCTGGAGTTGAAGGCTGCAGATTTTCCAGCCGAGGAAAAGTCGGTGGAAAAAGTGCTGAGCTTTGAGGTGATTTGCCTATAAAATGGCCTGTTTTGAAAAAAATTTCAATCAAAACTCATAGAAAATTATAGCATTTTCTTAAAAAAAATCGTCTTCATAAATAGGCGCTTATAATTTAACCATGCAAATAATTTAATTTCCAAGTATAATTTTATTATTAAACTTTTACAATTTTTATTTATAGATCAAAGATCCTGATTTGGAAATCATCAATGTGGAAATAATTCCGAACAAAGCAAATTCTGGAGAAAACTCTGAACCTTTTGAGGAACCAAAAGATGACCTGCCAGTGCACCAGAATAAAGAACCCTCAGACGTGAAAGAATCAGACCACGGAGACGACTTTCAAGAGAAGTTTGAAGCCGAAGAGCCAGTGGAGAAAATCAAAGAGCCTGAAGTGGAGAAAATGTTGATCCTGCTTTCTGCAGAAAAAGCTCCAAAGCAGTTGGAAGAAACTCCAGTCCCGAAAAAGCCGATCCTGCTGAAAACCAAAGCTGCGTCAAACTCGGGAAAGGTCGGACCCTGCAGGATTCCCAGGTTGAATTGTCTCCTCCGCAGCTCAACTCCGTACAGCTCTGGCGCCCGCACGGCGCCGATCGAGCGACCCAGGACGGCAACGCCGCGTCCGGTCCAGCCTCGCCTGCCAGCAGTGCCAACCCTGAGAAGCCTCGCCAAAACCACCCCACCCGCTCAGGTGCTCAGCACCCCTGCTACCCCTAGGAGGAACAAATACTCCAACATCAAGGCCAAGGTGAACAGCAAGCCGACGAGCATCCTGAAGGTGCAGCCTGAATCGAAGGAGTCCAAGGTCAAAAGGGTCGGATGGAAGGACAAGCTCGAGACTTCCATTCAGGACGACAGTTTGAAGAGCGCCGAAAAGGTTGAAAAAGAGCTCATGGCAACTCTGAAGAAAAAGATAGAGGTAATTTTTTTTATTATACCTCTTAATGTTTTCAATTTTATAAAAAATATAACGGAAATTAGGATTTTTGTATACTCTTGTTAATTAAAAAATAATTATTTTCAATTGTTTCAGGAGTTGAAAAATGAGATAAGCCACCCGAAGCCACAAGCAGAAGTTTCAAGTGAGGTGAAGACCCCCGACCTGGAGTTGAAGGCTGCAGATTTTGGTGCCGAGGAAAAGTCGGTGGAAAAAGTGCTGAGCTTTGAGGTGCAGAAGGAAGCCGTGGCGACGGCCGCGGACGACAGGTTGACCCTGGGCGTGACCCCGTGTCACTTGGTTTTCTCGTCCGAGGAGGAAAGTTCGCCCGAGCTGAAAGTGCCGACGCCGGCAGAGGTGACCAAAGAACAAGAACAAGAAGAAATTGAAGATGCGGCTGAGAGCGCGGGCGTGACCAAAGTTCTGCTCGGCGCAGCGGCCGTCGCGGGACTGGCCGCCGTCGGCTACGTCACCGTCACCCACTGGGACAAGCTGGTCGAGAAAACTGCGCCCATCGTCAAGAACATTGCTGACAATTTCACTTTTCAGTTTTAAAAACGCTTCGGAAAGAATAAAAGCGCAAATTATTTGGTTACTATGAAAAAATAACATCTTTGTTTATAAATTTTAGTTTGCTAATGAAAAAATTAAGTGACTCATGCTTTTTAATGTTCAAACGATGAATTAAAAAAGAGAGAAATAAATTAATTTATTATTATGATTCATTATTGTGGACTCTGGAGGAAAAGACTTTCAGGTCAGAATTATAGCGTAAAGTTTTTTTCTCGAAATGGTTGGTGATTCTCTTTCTCTGAATGACGTCACGCAGGTATTAAATGCGTGTGTGAATAAATAATGCGTGACGTGGAAAGGTACGTCTTTGCCGCCCGACAAGGAAATTCTCCTGAGAGCACGGAATAAATATTCATCGGCGATCACATCTGACTGGGGAATACCTTTTGAGCTTATTCAATAAATTAATAGAAATAATGAATAATCAAAGTTTGTATTATGAAAGAGTTCAGTAAAATGACATATTTTTAAAATATTATTATAATTATGATGCCACAGCATAAGAAGATTTTTTATTTGTGCCCTGTGCTAGTTAAAACAGCATAAAAAGTTGGAAATAGATCAAAATTTTCATTTAAAATTTAACATCAATGGTTTTTTTTATAAATAAAATCTTGTAAATAGAAAAAAAAAAAAAAAAACAACTGAACATAAAAAAATTGAACAATAAACATTTTTAAGTATTCACATTTGCGTTTTGGTTTTTAGCAGAGTTGGAAACTCAATCCCTTTATAAATCTGTTCCAGTCATTTTTCATGCATTTCAATTTTCATCATATCGTCTGCAGATTCAGAAAGTGTAGCAAATTGTTTGTTTAGATCAGATTTGACAGTGTCGCAGGTCAGTGCACAAACTGCAATCCCGTCGCGAGAAAGTCACGTGCACTTGTTACTTTTGTCGCGCGCACTCGGCTGAGCTCAACAATTATTAACAAATTCGTGATTTCACGGCCGATTTAACGCCGCAATTCTTGCACCACCACAACTAAATTGGTAAATTAGCTTCAGATGGGAAGAAAATAGAGTATTTTTGTTTCGAGTTGCCACATGTTTTGATGTGAAACAAAAGTTCATGATTGATTTTTTTAGATTTTCGCTTGGAAACAACATCCCCTTTAAGCGAAAGTGGAGCAGTGAGGCGGGGCGGAATGGGTTGCAACAGAGAGGGCTAACAAGGTGTGCGTTTGTGGCCTGACCGAGCAGATCAAGTGCACTCGCACGCGCCCCGTAACTGCCCCGGTGGACCCGCACGGCCGTCGACCTTGAAGCTGCAAGAATTCGTCTTTTGAAGTAAAAAAAAACATCAGCAAATTGAAGAATAATTTGTAAGATTTAAAAAAGTAAAAATATAATTTATTGAATCCTACTAATTTTTTAATGCTACTAAAAAACAAAAATCTAGTTTTAATACTATTTATCATTCTGAATTTTTATTTAAAGTTTGGTAAATTATCATAAATTATTTTAAGCATGAGAAAATGATGACTGTAATTTAATTAATATCAATTACTTTAATATTTTATTAAAAACTTGAAAACTAGTTCCAAATTGATCTAGTAAAATGTTTGTGCCAAGATAGCTCTCGCTCTCCGCATAATAATGGACTGGCCTGCAGCATATAATAATCGATTTTGACCTAGAGACGCCGTGCCATGTACATTTCGATGCACCGCGAGTTTCAATTCAGCGGTAAAAAGTATGTGTTTGCAAACTACTTTTTGAATCTGCAGCCGGCATTAAAATGCGCTTCTTGCTCATTCAAGCTGGAGTGCGAAGATGCAAAAAATGATGGTGCATCTGCGAACGCACTCAGCATCTTGATGTTGGATCCAATGGAGCGGCCTCGAGTGCAGTCGGTGCGCTCGGCAGTTTTATTTATGTCCTCCATGTTTTAAGCTCATAGTCGGCTGCTGCTGACATCGTGGGTGCTTTTTTGCAGAAAATCTATGCAGTCGCTTTCACGCTTGACTCGTTTCCTAAATAACAAAAGAACAAATGTGTCGTGCGTTGTTTGTATTCTCGGGTGTAAAACATTTTGTCAACGCGTGAGATAAGAAATAATGGCAACAATATGAGTTGCAAACAAATGACTCGGCTCTCTTATTAATGAAAAAGTCTCCTCTTTAGAAATAAAACTTTGCCTCAACTTATAGTAAAAAAATTAAAAAAAAAAATTCATTCAATGTTTAGTAAAATCAATAAAAATTTTATTAAATTTGAGATCTAAATTGAATGAATAAAGAAAACGACTTTTCAGTTTTAAATTTGATAGCAATTAAAAGTAGTATTCTTGATTTTTTATTAAAATCTGATTACAAAAAATAGTAAAAAAAACCTACAAAAAATAAAATATAAATAATTTAGAAATTTAAAGAAAAATTAATCAAAATGACTTAATTTTGCAAAAAATTAGAAAGGCATAAATAAAAAAAAAGACTTTTCCGCCGTGATCATGATTATCTGTAATCTGTGTTGCATAAGGCTGAGAATCTATTGTGTGATCTGAACGCTGATTGATCATTGATTTGAATTTAACATCAACAGGGGTCAATTAAATTGACTCGAGACCGTTATCTCATCCTTTTAAGGATTGACCTCTTCGTATTTTATTGTTGCAAATTGAGGTATCAGGGCTGCTTGATTTGATTTGCAAGTTCTCGAACGTAACAGGCTTAAAAATTCAAAATCAAGATCTTAATTTGCAGTTTAAAACTATAGTAATTATTTTTGAAAGCGATTCAAATTCATTTCAAAACTGTTTTACAAATAATTTGAAAGCACTTTTGCTTTTTTTATCATTTTGATTTATATCTTGTTTGAGTTTTGTCACGTTTGTCGAATGACGCTGCTGACCACAATTTGAACTCGGAAAACGCTCGCGCAGTCAGCAAATGATGTGGTGTGTATTTATGGCCGCAATTAAAAGTCCCCTTTTCACGCACCATTTGCTAATGCAATCTCCTTCGATGCAAATACTCGATTTGCTTGTCTCGATCGAAACACCAAGTCATGCGCATTCTTGGTGCATCCGGCTCCTCTTGTAAAAGTTGTTCACTTAAGAACAGTGAGTGGACTTGACCTCAACAATTTTTCCCAACCAGAAAGACGGGTAAAAGGTCAAATAATAATAGTAGGGAAAAAGCTCTTTTTTACTACAAAAATTTTAAATTAAAAAATCTTAGACTAGAAAGACCATTTTTTCAAATTCTGTATGAATATGAATTTAAACAATTTTATAATTAGTATGATTAAATTAATTTTGGCTCTGAAACATGAAAGTTTTTTTTAATTTCAATAAAAATTGGTAAATTTCCGACGTAGTTTCAATAAAATTTGATTGATTTATAATGATTTTATAGTAAAATCAGATAATAATTGTTTCGTTTATGAGATTTTTTATGAAAGTTTTGCAAAATTTAAAAACTCACCAGCGTTGATGAGTCCGAACATGACGAGGAATCCGACGAGCACGGCCAGGAACTGCCAAATGCCGGAGTGGGTGAGGCTGGAACGCTCCCTGTGCAGAACCTCGAAGAAAACCACGTAGATCAAAGTTCCGGCGGCCATGCCCTGCAGGACCACGGTGGCCGCCGTCTCGGCGGAAAACGACTCGCCCGATGTCACGGCGATGCCGATGCCAATTCCTGCGCAAAAGACCACAGAGGTGAACAAATTACAAAAGTTTAATTTCTATTCGCAGAGGCAGCGCGTAATTAGAAAATACCAGAGAGCAAAGGCATCTCGGTTTGCAGAATGTGTGGTACAATACGAGGCTTGTAATTAGTGTTGAAGTAATTATATAAAGGATATATAAAGTTTATATAGAAGATGAGAAGATAAATTAGTCAGTAATATTTCCTGTCATTCTAAATGATTTTTAAGGATTTATTTTTTATTAAAAGGAAAAATTATGGCTACAATTTTTCAAAAATTTATTTAAATTATTTGTTACTGTTAAAAATTGTCTTGTTAGGAAATTTTTATGGTACTCCTTTATAGAAAAAGAGCCTAAATATTCTAATTTTTTTTATAACATTTTTAAATTGATAAAGAATTCATTTAAAATAATCACGTTTGGCAGTATTTTATTGAAATTTGCGGCAATTTTTCCAATTATTAGGAAACACAGCATCAATAGAAAGAAATGAAAATCCTCAATTAAATAAATTATGCACAAAATTATTTAAAATTTTAAAGAAATCTAAAAATATTTTCAAATAATGACAACAATTGTCATTATTTTTAATGAACTTAAATTAGTTAAATTAATTAAAAGTCAAGTTTAAGTTATTAACTTAAAAAAATTACCCAAAGGAGTGACGATTGCGAAAACTCCGACCGAAAGCACAACGAGCAGGAAGCTGGTGTTTGAAACGAGCAGTTCGACGCCGACGCAGAAGGCGATGACGAACTTGTGCGCGGCGACGGCGCCCATCAGGTACCACACGTTGGTGGCGCTCGACTCGAGACCGACGGCCAAACCCTCGAAGACCGCGTGGAAGGAAAGGGCGAGCACCGCGATCAGGGCGCTCAGGTTGGTGAACAGCGAGTGCAGCTTGGGGCGGCGCCAAAAAATTGAGCTTTTGCGCCGCGCCAGCCTCTCCTTGCTGTTGTTGCTGACGGCGACGCTGTCCGACGAAGCCTCCAGGTCCGACTTCCTGGCCGCGTGGCTGTGCCCAGGCGACCGTCCGAAGAAGAGGTGCACCAGCTCCTCCACCAGATACACCGAGAACAGACCTAAAGTTCCAAGTTTAGGTTGAATATTAATAAAATTTATAATTTGAAAAATATAATGCATCAAAAAAATGTAATTTATGAGAAAAGGGAAAGTTACGAAAAATTGACAATAATTCATTTTTAATTTGTTCAATGCTTTAAAAAATAATTTAGCTTCTCCTTTGGATGAGCGAAAAATGTTGATGATCGTCTTTATAAAAAGGAGCTCTAAAATATCTTTTTAATACTTAAAATTAGCTATTCAATAATTGTTGAATTACCAGACAAAAGGAATATTTCTGGCAGAGGCACGGCGTGGCCCGTTTCAGGCAAGTTTCCAAGGGCAACCTGAGCCTCAACCGATTCTCTCAATTCTGGCAACATGTGGACAAAAGCTGTGCAGAGAAGAACGCCGGCACCGAAGCAGAGAAGCATCGAAATGAAAATCTGTAATTATAAGAATGAAAAGAGTTCACTTCTATGTAAAGGTTTATAAGAGATGAGTTCATTTTGATAAATAAAACAGCCTAACACGTAAGCGCACTATTTGTTCTCCTTGGGAAAAGAAATTCCACAAACTAATCAAAGCTAATCAAAGTGCAAACAATGCGGCTAGAAAAGAAGCAGGATAATAAAATGGCTTAAATTTTACTCATAAATATAAAAAACAACAATATAATAAATTTTCTATGCCTTACAACTGAGTCATTTTTGCACATAATGGTCAAATTTTATTAAATATCAATTTTTTTATTTACCTAACAGTAAAGATTTATAAATATAAACTTTAAATACATTTCAGACACATAAAAACAGCAAAATGTATTCATCATAAAAATTCAAATTGAAAGTTTTAAGCATTGAAATTTTTGAAAATTGCGAGTTTCAAGTTCCCATTAATTATTATTTAAGTGCATTGAAGGGAGATACATTCCGACTTTTTTTTTAAATTTTTCTTATTGGAGTTTGTTAGAGTTTTTTTTCCGTATGCATATTTTAGCTATTTTTTAAGCTAATGCAATATTTAAAGTAAACTGAGATTAAATAAAAATTGAGAGACGAACCGCCACATATGAAAATCCCAAGCATATATGCCGAGCAGGTTGCATAACCAGTGTAAAAACGTGTTCAAGAAATATAGCAAAATTTTACAATATCTTTTTCATATTTTATCTAGAAAATAAAATAAAAATCCTTTTTTTTTTATGAAATTAATAAATAATATTACTTTTCAATCTATTATTTTCTTCTTTTCAAAGCTTGAAAGAGAAATTTTCTGACAATCTCACTTTACCATAGACCAAAGAAAAAGTATAAAAAATAAATTTCTAACGCCTCAATTGCAAGACGAACCCTGTTTTTGCCATTCTGCATGAGTCCTTCGACGTCCAGCTTGAAAATCTTGACCATGGCCCATGGCAGGAGGCCCAGGGCGAAGCTGACCAAGCCGAGGACCAGCATGGCCACGACCCTGGCGGTGGTCAGCGCCGGCCAGTCGATTTCCTGCTCCTCGAGCACGGTGGACAGCACGAGGGCCGGTCGGCCGTTTTCGGCCAAGATCACGTCCGAGATGTGCGACATGGTTTAATTAAATGGAAAAAGTGGCAAAGCCGCCCGAGCCCCTCGGATTTATACCTGCCGAGGGCCTTATCGCACCTGAGGCTGCGCACAAGACGCACTCGTAAAGATAAATGCGCACCTCGCAACGCCAATGGTCCAAATCCAGCTTTGTTTGGGCAGCGCGGCAGAAAGTTCGCTAATTGACTTCAGCATTGGAAGGGGCATCAATCGACTCGGGCCTCACAATCTTGAGGATTAAATAGAAGAAGGAAACTAGTTTTCATCTCGCAAATTAGGTGTTTATTTAAGTTTTGGGAAAATCTCTGAAAATTGGATGCTCAAATAAACAAAATTAAACACTTCAAACTCGAAATCAAGATTATCAGTGAAAACGATTAAATATTAATTTTTGTTGAATATGTTAAAGCTTTATATTACAATCAAATAATTTAAAGAAAAAATTAAATTAATTTAAAATCAATAATAAAACAAATTGGCATTTTATGCAATTATAGCTTCATTAAATTTTTGAATTTAAGTCAGTATCAATTTTCAAATTTCTAATCGTTTTTTTCCTTCCTTCTTCTCAAGCAATATTAATTATACAATAATTTTCATTGATTTAACAATCGACCATACCTTTTTGCATCAAATAATAATTCAAATTGAATTGTCTTTAAATACCTTTTTAATTTTTTCTACATGATTTATGAACAATATGAGCTGCTGAATTTGATTTGTAATTAAAGTTTTATATTGAGAACGTAATCTTGGGTCTTTTAATTGACAAGTGAGAAAATTAGGATTTGACAATCTATTAACCCAGAAAGCTCTTAATAACTTTTAGCGCGCAACGGAATTGGTGATCCGAGGGAGCAAAATATTTTTTGAGTGAGCAGACAATTATTGAAATTAGCATCTGTATTTGTATGAACTCAAGCAATTAGTAATGAGATGAGAATTCGTGACAAAACACGCACGCACACCTGCCAGCACAGAAGGAGATGCAAACAAATTCGCTCCAGTGTAATCATGCGGCGGAGTAAGTAGTGCATTTAAATGTACTTTTGTCACACACATTTTCTCAAGGCCAGACAAACTTGATAAGACTAAAAACTTTCAATAATTATTGCAACAGGATTAATTATAACTTTATAACTTATGATACATTTTTCCACATGAGTGACTTTTTAGTTATTTTTTCAAATACAAACTAAAATTGTACAAATTTCACCTGCTCCGATATATGAGACTGAAATTTGAAATTGCGAATAAATTACCATTTTCCCACGAGTTAATATTTCTTCCAGATTTTATTTCAGTTTAATAAATTTTAATTGTGTGAATCAGATGAATTATTTGATTAATTCGCGTTTGGCGGTAGCAATGAAAATTTATTTTCATTTTTTGTTTCTTTGTCTCAAGCTACATTATGTTTTAAGTCAAGTGTTTGGCTTTGATAAAAATTTAAACCAGAGATAACGAGTGATAAGGTGAGTTTCGCTGATATTATGAGAGCAAAGGTATTAATTGCGTCCTTTCAGCGCTTCCAAGAAAAAAGACATGTTACGTAAATTTAACCAAAATATATATGGAAAACTGAAAGAGAAGAACAGGTATAATTGAAAAATGGATTTGAATAAAATCATGTTCATTAATTATATATAAATAACAATTAAATTTCGCAATAAATTAATTTTGCTGAAATTTTACAATTCTAGTCCCATAGCAAAAGGATGTTACTGACATTCCTTTCCTTAAATAAAAATCCAAAAATTAAATCCCCACGATTTAATTTGACTTCAATGAAATCAAATTACATTTAAATCACGTTAACGTGAAAGGAATTTTTTTTCTATAAATTATAAGTTTTTAAATTTTGGAACCTGAAATTAATCAAAATAATAAAACTGTTTAAACAGCAACCTGCTGATTCTTAAATTAGACTAAAATAGTGTTCTAGATTTTTTTGTCGAACGCAAAACAAAGCCTTATATTTTTGCAGTCAGTTTTAAACGGTTAATTTTAAAATAATTATAAGCTTAATTAGATCATAAATGTCTCACGATTTTTATCACCCATAATGACGTATAAGATCAGATCAGATATAAAATTATATTTTTCATTTATACATAATTTAGTCCCAAGGTCCAATAAAGATCATTAAATGAAGTGGCGTCTCCTCTCAAGACACGTGCATTGTTTATATAATCGGCGTGAGCGACGACGAACAAAAATAACAGTCGAGTTAATTCGCAACACCACTTTTGTGCACATTCTATGGAACGCACTAAACAATCTCTCGGGGATAAACTGCAAAACGCAAATCAATCAGCGCGGCGGGAAATGGAATTTTCGCAGCCGTCTATTAAAAAAAAGCAGCACTGCCACTGTCGGGCGGAGATTTTGTGAAAAGCCAGAGTGATTGATGTCGGCGCCAGCGAAGCAGCGTTTTCGGCACTCGCAAATTACAGCAAACTGCACAGCACAAGAGACAAAATGAATACTGCGGGCAGGGCCGATTGTTCATTTGTCTGGCAGAGCTTTTATGCACACGACACACCAATTTTCCACACTGCTCTACACAGTCAAAAGCCAGCAGGATTAATTAGATTTTTAATTCAAGTGTGATTGACATTTTAGAGGGTTGGGAGGAAATTGAAATCACCAATTTTAAATACATTTCATCATTTAATTCCGCATAAGAATATAAACAATTACATGATAAGTTTTACTTTGTAAAGAGACAAACGCTTTTGCATAAGTAGAGTTTTGAACCTTAAAGTTTCTATTACAATACGGACAGTCCTTTTTACCAAAGTGCCTTTTTAACGAAGACTTTGTAACAACATTTTTGGAATATAATATTTATATATATATATAATTAATTTTCTTTAGTTTTTGTGTGTGAAACTATCAATAAGATTCAACCAATAAATGGCACGGAAAGGAGAAAAATAGGAAATTTGCTACTCGCACCAAATTTAGTTGCGTTCACGTGACAAGAAGGATACTTTGTTTCGATACAATACACAAAATGAAAGTTCCGGTCTTCCTTGACCTACGAATGTATTTTTTCAAAGTGCTATTCAGCTTAAAATTTTTGTTTCACAACAATTAACAATATTTTATCTCAAAAAGAACGAGTATATTGGGAAAAAAAACAGAACAGGGTTAAAATTGCCAAAAATGGCCAAGTGGCAGTTCGATAAGTTTTGAATAAGGTAAAAGGTTGGCAAAAATTATTCGGCAGAAGAAGGATTGTGCAAAAATACGGCTTGGGATTCTTAAAATGCAGTATCGGGAGTATCACTAGTGGGATCACATTTACATATCAATGTCAAACATCATATCCTGGCCCTCCTTCGGGGTGCCAGCTTCGGCCTCCGAGTTGACATCCTCGCTCTCCGAGGTTTGGCTTTTGCGCTGGGTCGCTTTCCTCTTGTTGCGAGCCTTGCGCTGGTTCTTTTTCCTCTGGCCCAAGATGCTCGAGTCAGCTCTGAAAATGATTTTAATCAGCCAAAATTTAAATTTATTACAGAATTCTTTCAAGCGTTCTAAAACTGAGAAAACCTTCTTATGATAAATCAAATTTAGTACCTAAACAGCTGCTTCGAGATGACATCACTGAAGGATACAGACTTTTTTACGGAGTTAACAGGATCAATTTCTCTGCTCGTCTCTTCATTCAGGTCACTCAGTTCGTAGCTCGCAGCCAAATCACCAGAAATTGAAAAGCTGCTCTTCAGTATGCCTTTGCAAGGACTGTGACACATGGACTGAAATATTTCAAATCAATTTAACTTCAGTTTAAAAATTTAAATGAAAATTCCTAACCCAATCATCACTGGATTCAGATATCGACCTGGTTTTTGCTGCCATAATTCGGAGCTGCCTCTTCTAAAGAAAAATAATATTAATTTTATGAATTTCCCGGGTCAAATTTTTAATTTACATTGATGTTTGCAAGTCTCTGTTGACTTCTCTCCTCTAAACTCTGATTGTCCAGCGTATCACTGGGTTCACTTTTCAGTTCTGTGTTGTTATTTTGACTTCTGCTGATAAAGAGCTCTTGTTCCTGGGTGACAACCTGGAAATGTAGAACGATGATTACAAAATGTGATTAATTTTTAAACAAAATTTAAATGCCTTTTCCTCGTCAGAGCCTCCACTGCTTCCAATGTCCATCATGTCAATTTTCTGCGAAACCTGGTCCTCGACGCTGGACACAGGCTGGTTGACCAGGAAGAAACCAGCTTTGGCAGCTTTGTTGACTGTTTTCAGTAATCGAAAGTTCAACTCGGGCCGACTCGTCTGCAGAAGGGGCTCTTCCTTCAAGCCTTGTACTTTGCTCGGCAAGTGCAAAACCAAAGAGTGACTGAAACAAAATGGGAAAAATGGTAAAAATTTTAAGTACAAGATGAAATAAAAATCTTTTAATTCTTTCGAAACTAGTTATAAATTATCTTTTAGAGATTAACAAAGTTAGAATAAAAAATTTAATTTGATTAGAAAAAAAATCATGATTAAATCACATAAAAGGTAAAAGCCAAGAACCATTCAACGTGAATAGCAGGTTTAAAAATAGTTTTCAGCTGCAAAATAATATGGCATGAATGTGTGTAAAACAAAACACTTTGATCGCAATGTTTGGCACGCTGAACTATAATATTATCTCACCAAGAAATGCTTGAAATAGCACGCAAAATAAATACTCAACAGAATTCATTTTTATGCATTTATGTAAAATAGCCAGTCATCAGTCTCTATTCAATTCAATGGGAAGTTAGTCCAAGACCCAATAAATTAAATAATATATTACTACATGAGCAAATCATTACTGATGCTTCAGAAAGATTAATTGATCGACAAAATTCCTTTTCCATTTAAATCTTTTAAAAAACCGCACCTTTTTAAATCAACCTCGAGGTACTCGCGGGTCAAGCTGTACTTGACCCGGTGCTCGGCAGGGTTGACAGGCAAAACGACGCTGACATTGGTGACCGTGGCCTCGTCGGTCATCTCGACTCGGGTGAAATCGCCAGACTCGGCGATCCTGAAGTCCTCGGGGTCGCCCTTGCACTGCAGCTTCGGGGTGGCCACTCGGTCCCTCTGCAGGGTCACGCCGAGGGCGGTTTGCGACGCGTTCAGGGCGGCCTGGTGCAGGTGGTGCCTGAAGAGGTCCGACTGCTCGGCCAGGGCGACGGCGCCCTGGCCGAAGGTGACGTCGACCACCAGGCAAGGTTGCTTCTTCAGGTCAACGTCCTGCCGCGGTTTGCTGACCGAGTGGGGCAGGAAGAGGGAGCCGCGCTTGGCCCTGGGCTCGAGCAGGCCCTGGGCCTCGGTGCAGATGTTGATCATCACCTTTTCCCGGCCCTGCGTCCACACCTTGAGCACGTACCGGCCCTCCGGCTCCACCAGAGCCGGGTTCGACGCCCGGGCCGCGGCCTCCGGGCAACTCGTTTCCGAGTTCATCAGCCAGTTTTTCAGATTTTCGCACGTCTCGCCGGTGCCCAGCTGCACTCGGCTGACGCGCACAGTTCGTAAAGTCGACGTTTGAGACATTTTTAATTCTTCAAGATGCGATTCAAGTGAAAAATCTTTAGCTGGGTGTACGTGACGGCGATTTGACCTTCTTTTTCTCTTCTGCCTGTTTCCAACTGCGAAGTTTTCCAGAAAGATTTCTCTTGTGTTAACCACTTGGACCAATCAGCGACGAGTATTCGCCGAAACCAAAGAGCTCTCGCGCGAGACTCCGCCCACGCTCAAAGTTTTCTTAAAAATTGCAAAATTATTCCATTCTTTGTTGAAAATCTGTGCACTCAACCTTAGATAACCAAACTTTTAATGAGAAAAATGTGTTTTAACCTGCATTTGGTGCATTTTCGTGTGAAAATTCCGCACAGAAAAACTCATTTTGAAATTTTCGCGCTGAAAATAAAGTCTAGGAGGTTCAACTCACGCATGCGCTCCTTGCAGCGTCCATTTTACTTTTTCGTCTTCACTGTCCGTCGCTTTCACACACGATACACGATGGGTAAGTTTTTGCCGAATTTCGCTGACATTTCTGCAATTATCCTCAAGTAGTTAATGAAAATTGAAATGAAAAAGGTGCCTGATTATTATTATTGAAAAAAATTTGCGGGCCAGCGTTTAAATGACGATTGTTTTCGGTGAAATGTTTGTCGGCACACGGGCCACGTGGATTGACAGCCAAACGCAGACAATGTGGTTCGGATTTTCTACTTTAATTATAATATTTGTCTCGTTTCAGGCAAACCCAGAGGCTTGCGTACGGCGAGAAAGCACGTGAATCACCGCAGGGACCAGAGATGGGCCGACAAGGACTACAAAAAGGCCCACCTGGGAACAAGGTGGAAGGCCAACCCCTTTGGCGGTGCGTCGCACGCCAAGGGGATCGTTTTGGAAAAAGTGTAAGCTTAAATTATTATTAGTTTAATTGTTTTAATCCAAATTTTACACTTTGATCGGATTTTATAGATTTTGCTATTAATTTCAGTGGCGTCGAGGCGAAGCAGCCAAACAGTGCCATCCGCAAGTGCGTGAGAGTGCAGCTGATTAAGAACGGCAAGAAAATCACAGCCTTCGTGCCCAGGGACGGCTGCTTGAACTACATCGAGGAAAACGATGAAGTCTTGGTGGCAGGATTCGGTAGAAAAGGACACGCCGTCGGTGACATTCCCGGTAATTTTTTTTTCAATCAAAATAATTTATTAAACAATGTACACAGAAATTAAATTCATATCGGTATTAAATTATTTTTAATTGAAAAATTAACAGAAAATGCAATTTTTTATTTTTGCACTAAATTCTTTATAAGATAGTTCAGTAACTGAATTCTCTTGCAGTGAAAGTTACTCGACATTTTATTATTTGTCAAATTGTTTCAATTTACTATTATTATTTGTGTTTATATTTTTCCAGGCGTCCGTTTTAAGGTCGTCAAGGTCGCCAACGTTTCTCTCCTAGCCCTGTACAAGGAGAAGAAGGAGCGTCCCAGGTCATAAGCATTTCCACCTGTTTGGTGTCACGAGAGGTGCCTCCGACTCGCCTGCCCAACTTCCAGCTTCACCCGCTCCCTCGACTGAGTCTTCAGACCCTCTCGTGGCTGGTTATTTTCATTCCATTTCTTTTCCACAAATGTAATAGTACATTCCGATTTTTCTGACATTCCTTAATAAACTTTTTGAGCTGGACAAGCTGGAAATTTTACTACATGATTACTGCCCACTAGAATGTGTAAAAAGTTGAAATTAATTCCTTCAAATTTAATAGGAAATAGGTTTTTTACTTGAAATCTTAATTTTTGGTTGATTTATAGAATTTAAAAAAGGTGCTATTTAATTTTTGATAACTTATTTGCATAATTTGATCGTAGATTGGTGAAATTTTACAGTTTTACACTTATCAAGCTGATTTTGAGTTCTAATTCATTAGAGTTATTTTTTTTTTAAATTTACCGAAATTTTGAAATACACCTAATTATGTCTACCTGCAAAATAAATGACAACTTTGAATTATTTCTATTGAATCTGATAGTCATAGGATGAAAATTTTTGATTAAATCGATTAAATATTATTATGAAAATATTTTTTAGTATCTGTATAAAAGTTGTTGTTGTGGAACCTTTTTGCACGCAAGGTCATTATTTTGTGATGAAATTTTCTAGTACATTTTTTTTTGGCTTAAAAATTTTCTCACGATTTTCTTGAGACAAAATTTCTCAAATAAATAAGATGAACAAAAAATTAATCGAACAAATGAAAATTCGCCTGGCCGCAATATAAATTATTATAATCAATACTTTTCGATAGCTGGCATGATTTCATAAAACAATTTTAATCAATTTTATTTTATTATTAGTTTCACCATTCTTTTGTTTGTTTTATGAATCAAAACAAAGAACATAATAATTTTTATGTAGAAAATAAATAAAGTTAGGAAATAGTTCAGCTTCAAAGAATAAAAATACATTTTATGTAATTATGAATTGACAAAATATCTAAAATGATATCTAAACTAAAATGTTATTTAAGTTGTTTAAAAATCAATTTATGGTCTTGACGATTCTTGAATGACAACTCGGATCAAGATAATATTTGAAAAATGATCCAGTTTGTAGATCTGAGATATTCGTAGAATGACTTTTCGTCCCTGACACGATCCACATATTTATTAAATGAAAGAACATTTACTTTTGCCGGCGGTCGTAAATTCATAAATTGAGGCAAAGTGGTCGATGAGGCGCGCGGAAGTGACCGGAATCGTTTCCTTGCCGGACCGGAATTGGCTCGTGTAAGTGATTGGGTCGCTGGACCTTGGCAACATCATTTTTAGCGCAGAATGCCGCTTTTTGAAAGTATAGACTGAACAGATTCTGGTCGATGGAGCGAGAGCAGGAGACCTTCGGGCGTCGTTTACTGGGTCTAATTAGTGAACGGTGCGGGCGTTTGCTCTCCTCAAGTTCACCGCTGTTTTTGTTGGTCGTCGCGCGCCGTGATCATTCATTTTATATGGTTGACCCAACTCTCGATAATAAATTATCTTTTCTTCTAGGCTGTGATCAAATAACAAACTGGCTTTAACAGTTTAATATCCATATTGTTCAATTTGATTACAATGTAAAATGCTTTGAAAATAGGGAAATTCATTTTTCTTCACAAAACAGAAATGAGAGATGCATAGCATAATTTTTCGGAGTGCAGTGCACCACGGGCGTGCACCTTGAAATTGCACCCCGGGGCAGCACCCTCGGAGTGCACCACGGGCGTGCACCTGGTGCCAAAAGAATTTTCTTTTTGAATAAGGATGTACAAATGGTTGATAAATTAAAGAGATTTATGATTAGATTATTATTTAAAAAGATTGAAAACGTCTGTTTTTGCTTGTGGCATTAATTATGGTTAGGAAAAAAAGACAAACATTGTTGGACTTTTTGGTGAAAATTTGTTTTTACCGAACAAATGACAGTTTATTTTAGGCTCGAATTTAGTTAAAAAGTCACAAGAAGCGAGCAAAATTTTTGATTTAAATTTAATTGAAGGGAAATATTATTTTTTATTTAAATCTAAAATATAAAAAAAAATGGGAAATTAACAAAGTCACTTAATTTTATGTTTTTAGCAAACATTTTTGTGAAGTTGGCAATGAGAAATTGTTTTACATAATATTGTAGAAAACGTGAATTTAGCAAAATTAAAATCCCGCCAAACAATTAGGTCTGTCTGTTATAAAGAATCTTAAAAATAATCATATAAATATAAAAATCTGAATAGGCTACTTTAATGATAAATAATTTTGAAAAGCAAAATTTCTGAGCCTTCATCATGTAATTTCAATTATAAAAAACATACAAATATTGATATTTCAAGCAAATTATTTCTTTCAATTAATAGAAGTGGATCCAATGGTGTTGCAAAAGAAGAATCAAGATGATTTTATGTTTAAATGAGCTACAAAAATAAAAAAATTCAAATGGCACAAAAATTCATTCCGTCACTAGTTAATAAATGATCATGAACAAAAATTGCTGTTAGATAAAAATACTGTTACTGAAAAGATGTGGAAATTATTTGTCTCTAAAATTTAATGCCGCCAGTTCTCACATATTGCCGATTTTTTCATGTAGGAGGTTATTTAATATGTAGGTCTTGAATTTGCATATGCCAACTTTTAATTACACGCGTTTTTCTTCTTAACTGTAAAATTAACAAGAAACCTGTCTGACATAATATCAAATGGGTAAAATATTTGTTTATATTGCATTTTTTTAACGATTTTTTTTCTTTTGGCAACTTTTTAGGACCGGTTTGCGGAATTTGGATGGGATGAATCTCTAGTTAGATGGGTTAGTGAGAAGCAGATTGAACTAGGGTCGTCTCACTATCGCAGCCGCCGCGCCGAAGAGCACATTGGACTGACAGAATCGTTTTTGCAATGAAGGCGCTTTTTGCGGTTCTTGTCCTAATTGCACTTGCAGATGCGACTCCTCTGCGGGTGCTTCAGCATGGAGTCTTTGTACCTTTGCTGGCAGGCAAGTTTCCACTTTTAATTTCTTCTTTTTCGTTATTAAAACTTTTTACAAAAAAAAATCAGTGCCAAGAAATCGGAAATTTTTTAACGAGGTTGGGTTTAGCTTCTTTTTTATAAAATATTTCAAATTATTTGAAAATTAAATTGTTTCATTAGAATAGCATTTACGAGGCAAAGCGTGTGTCAAGTAGTTTCTGACTTCCGAGAGTACCGAGTGCAAAAGTATAAAAGAGCTTATTTTTTGTATCTCATCAACTTTAATTATATTTTTATGAATTAATAATGTTCTTGCAGCGAAGAATATTAAATTTATGTAGTATTTTCGTACAATTTGAAGTCTCACAAAAAATTCATTCAACTTTGTGTATTGCTTTGAATTAAAAATTAAAAAAAAAAGATTAAACGGTTCTTTGCCCTTTACGCGGTTTGCCGATTTCATCTCGTTTGATCTCATCTTTCTGATAAAAAATTCAAGTTTTTTTCTATGAAACTAGAAGTCTAGCTAGCAGCGTTTTTTGTTCAGAATAAGCTGTCTAGCAAGTATGCCATGTACTCGATCTTGTAGCAGACAACTTTTTCGTAACCGTTAAACTAGCTGCCTGAGCAAGGTCTGAACTGGTCTAACGTTCAAAGATTGGTTATTTTTTTTCAATTTGCTCTCAAATGAATGAACTCTGGCAATATATAGTTTTGCCAATTATATCATGCTGATTCAAATTAAAACTAAAAATTACTAAATTTTTTTATTTTTTTAAAATCAGTGCCTTTAAAAATCTTGATTATTGTATAGTTTAATTAATATAGATTTAATACTTTGTAAACAAGATTTTTTTCTTTTTTTTGCTCAAAACCTACTGGGAATTTTTCAACATAAGTCGAAGACTAATTTTTTTATTAGTCTAGGCGTTTATCACTTAATTTATGAAATATATAATTAATCTGAATGACTTAAACAGAAACCTTACTGTTCGTCAAACTCTATATTTGCGTGCCTTTTTTAGGGTATTGTAATTAAAATTTATCTTTTAATTAAAGTTTTATTTATTTTTGTGTGCCAGATTTCGAAATAGAAGAAGCTGCGGAGGCTGAAAACCCTGAGGGAAGGGACGGCGGCTTTGGTCCAGCACCTGAGGGTCGCGGCCTGTTGCATTATTTGTACAATTTGTGGCGACAACAGGCGTATCAGCAGCAGATGGCAAATTACTACGGAGCCAACAATTATTACCCGCCAAACAACAACGGTTGGTACAACAACTATTACGGGAACAACAACAACAACGGCGTCATCCCTGCCAGCTCCAACCCTTACGATATCACCACTTGGCATTTTCATTTCGACGATGAAAACGGAACCACGATCAGCGCCACGACCCCCGAACAACTTTCTCAGGCGCTTCAGGCGATTGGAATTGTCTCGAGCGGCAGCGATGGCAACTGGGGCATAAATAATCAAGTTCCGTTCGGCAACAATAACGGGGGCAGCTCAAATCTTGACAATTTTTCCGGAAACAATAATGGCGGGAATAACAATGGAAACTTTCAGAATAATAATCAAAATAATAATGGAAACGGCGGAAGCAATAATTCAGGTAATCAGGGAAATAACTTTGGAACTAATAATGGGCAAAATTCCCAAAACGGCGGCACGAACGGGGCAGGTAACAATAATAATTCTGGGCAAAACGGTAACGGTCAAAATAATCAAGACCAGCAGAATAATAATGTTGAGAGTGCAAACCAAGAAATTGTTGAGGGAAGTAATAATTCCGTTGATCAAGCAAATAATGAACAAAATTTGGAAAACGGCAACAATAATAATGAAAATCCGCTGGATAATAATTTTGATGAAAATAATCAAAACTTGGAAAGTGAGCAGAGTGGTGGAAATCCAGAAAATAATGAGAATACCAGCGAAGGAATTAATAATCTAGAAAACAATAGTACAGAAACAAGTGAGGCAGGCGCGAATGAAAATGAAAGCGATTTTTCAACTGATTGTGAGGGCAGCAATGAAAGTAGCTCAGTTATTAGCACTGAAAATAATTTGCAAAGCACAAGCGAGAGACCTGAGGAAGGGCAGGGTGAAAATAATAACGACGTAGCTTCGGAAAACAATGAACCTGTTGGCGCCGAAGAGAATTCTGTGAATAATGAAAATGCAACGAGCGAAGGCACGAGTGAGGAGGAAATTAGCGAGACGAGCGAGCAAACTGAAACCGGAGGTGAAAGCAATGAAAATTCGAATGTAAATGAAAACGAAAGCACAGAAAAAGAAAATATTGCAATTGTCACCGAAAATCCTGCAAATCCGCCGGGAATTGAAAATAGCGAAAATAGTACAGAGGCTGCAGAAAACATTCCTATTGAAACGGCAACTGAAAATGTCGATGGCAATCAAGAAGAATTAGAAGCAGAAAATAGCACTGGTATATTTTCAGGTGGGGAAAACGAAATTGAAGCGAGTACGGAAAATTCAGAACTTATCGCAGCAACCGAGGGGGAAGATAGTTTTGAAGTTGAGGGGGTTACTCAGGGTAGTTCCAACGACGGAGAGGAGGAAACCACAGAACCCCTTTTTAACCACGCATTTTTCAGAACCTTAATCGGCGCCAATTTCAGGCAACAAGGAAAGAAAAAACCTGCTGGAAACAATTACGACGTTTCCAATGTTAATAATAATTTGAATAATAATATTCAAGGAACTGCAAGTGATGTTTCTGCACTCAATCATTTGCCACCGGTAGGAGAATTGGGGGCAACGGGAGTCGCGGGCGTCACGGGATTCACAGGAGGAATCGGAGTTACGGGAGCGACTGGTTTTTTGGGCGGGACGGGAATTACCGGAGGAACGGGAGGCACCGGATTCACCGGAGGAACCGGAGCGACCGGAATCACCGGCGACACCGGGAACAAGGGCAGCCAAGGGGCGACCGGCCCGACGGGGTTGACGGGCTTCACAGGGGCGACCGGGGTGAGCGGCAGTTCCGGGGCGCTCGGGACAAATGGTATTACGGGAGGCGTGGGCACGACCGGCGCGACGGGAGCGACAGGCGGCACCGGACTTACAGGGACGACGGGCGCGACGGGCGTCACCGCCGGTTTGGGGGGCGTCGGGGTCAACGGCGTGGTCGGCACCCAAGGGGTGACGGGGGCGACGGGCGCCACTGGCGTCATGGGCTTCACACCAGGAACTCAAGCCAATTATTGGAATAGGGGCAATAATAACAATAACAATAATTACAACAACATTTATCCCACCAGTAATAACAATTTGAATAGTTACTGGAACAACAACAATTATTGGAACAACAACAATAATAACTATTGGAACAACAATAACAACAATTGGAATAACAATAACTGGAACAACAATAATAACAATAATTGGAACAACAACAATAACTATTGGAACAATAATAATAATAATTGGAACAATAACAACAATAATTGGAACAATAATAACAATTATTGGAACGATTACTGGAATTATTGGAATTATTGGAATGCAAATCGGGGTGCGGGCGTTGTTGGCTCCGCAGGCAGCGCGGGTGCGGCCGGAAGTGCGGGTTCTGTGGGAAGTGTGGGGGTTTCATATGGTAATCAATAATTAAAGATTGAAAATCTAGCTGTTGTTGCAACGTGTTTTTCTATTATTTGATAATTTATTGTACATTTTGGGGGACGCGTTTTGGGTTTTGTGTTTTTATTGTCAATCAAGAAACTCTCTCAGGTTTGTAACAAGTGCGAGATAATTTTATTTGTAATTTACCTGAAATTTAATTGTTTGACAATAAAATGTGGTGATTGAAATCTTGAGATTATTTTATAAGACCCAATAATTTTAAATGCAATAATTGTTAATTTTTATTATGATTATAAATTCGAGCTTATGTTTTCAACTTATTTTCTTTTCAAAACGCGATGTCTTTAATGGCAAAATTCACATGAGGTTAAAAAAGTTTTGGGCATATTAATGCAAAACAGAAGCACAAAAAATTTTGTAAAGATTAAATTTCTAATTAAATTTGTTCTCTCTGCAAATTAAATAAAAATGCAGCTACTTAATCTACAGCTTTGACTTAAATGAAGATTATGAAGCGTATGGTAAAAATTTTTAATTAGCGATGTATTATTTTTATTGCTTCGGTTGCGATTTATGGTCACCAAAAACTGCCCGAAACGACTAAAAAACTAAAGCCCACACCTTAGCGTGATGAATGAACAATGAATTCACTTACAATTAGTCTTGATTTTATCTGTCACAGACGTCTTGAAAAAACCACGCAATTTTCAATCGAGGTCTTCAGCTTTTTCACACAAAATAAAAGGCAGCGTAAGGTCAGTGCGTGCTATTTTTGGCGCTTGTGTGACAATTGTTTATTTTGTGAACAAAAAGACAAGATTTTAATCATTCACGCGTAATTTAATTTGCAAAAAAAAATGTATATTATAATGAAATTCCAATTCCAGTCTGATTACTGGAGCGACCTTTAGAATAAATGAAAGGAGAGAGATTTTATTTTTCTGCATCATCTGTATTTGTGCCAAAGGCGAAGTGCGCTGCAACAACAACAGGATGCAGGATATGTGGCGAGCCGACAGAGGAAAGAGAGGTTTTGTAAGTGAAATAATCATTTTATTTTGGGCACGTATCAATTTACTTTAAGTCGTGCGCATCGTGAGATAACAAAATTATCACGCGTCAAGAAAAACATAATAAAAGCGATAGGATTTTATTTTTGGCCTCGAATTAGGCTGCATTTTTATCATTTCCGATGGGAAATGATTGTAGTTCGCGGGCCAGAGTGAGAGGATGAGTGCTGAGGCCTTGTGAATGGAAGCTGCTGACAATAAAGAGTTGGTGGAAAAATTCAAAGCGCGAACCTTCGGCAAAGAGTAAATTCGCACTCCCTTGAGCTGGATAAAATGTGGAGTTGTTAATTCTCTCGCGCAGGATAAGAATTGGACAAACATGACCGTGTGTTTGTTGCAGGTGCTGAGAAAAAAAACTCTCTGTGCACCTTGCGAGTTCAACAAAACAAGCAATTCACTCTCGCTCCGTGTGAAAAGATAACGAGGTAATTAGTTTGAATTAATGAAATTGACAACGGTTGTGCTCTGCTCTGCAGGGATAATTTGCACTGTTTATTGTGTGCAGAAGCTAGGCGTGCAAATTGCTTTATTACCTCTCGACAATTAGGAAGCAAGCACGGCGCATAAAATAAAATATACATTTACCGGTTAAATACAAATTTTTTTATTATCTTTTTTTTTACCAGAGCTGCACGAGCAAAATATTGATGAGTGGTTTGTGTATTTAATAATAAATTTTTCGTGAAAAGAAAAATTAAAATTTGATGACAATACAAATTGATTAGGTAACAATTTTGGTCCGAGAAGAACTAGAATTTTGATATAAAAACGATAATTTTCAACAAATCGGGTCAACGAAAATAAAAAGGATTTGTATTTTAAACGATATATTTGTAGGGAATTATGAAGCAAAATTATTTTGTTAATTCAGGGCAGGATGTTTTAATAGAAAAATTATTTCCAATACATTTCCTTCAAATATTTTGTGATTTGTGTCGTTTTGGTTTCATTTGTGGTTGCCATAATACGAAGAAAATAACTCAATGCAAGAAAATTATATTTATTTCTTTATGAAATCTTTGAATTGACGTAACTAAATCAATATCCAATGTGCCAAGGAAGTCTTTCAATAGAATTTCCAAAAATCCGAACCTGAAAAGTGCTGAAGATAAATCGATGGACGCGGTTTGTTATTTCACGCGTTAATGCACATGATGAAATGGAACCTCTGTAAACCGACGGCGGTATTAAAGGTTATCGATTCTTAAGTCACTCAACTTTGAGCATGCGACGTGGGGCCATAATACACCACATGTATCTCGGCACTGTATTTATCTCCTGCCTTTTTTTTCATCACACACGCTTAGTTCGAGGTCTGCTCACGTAAAAAACAGGTCCTGGTCGCGCGAGACCGCGGCCGATACAACGCAAATATAGACCTTTACGTAATTTGATCTCACGCGAGTAAAGAAGCCTTGATCTTCACCAAAGTTCCATAATCTCCTAACATCAATCATTAGGAGGATCGCCTTTTCCCGGAAATACTAATAATAAATAAAAACACTCTCTTCACCTCAATCGATTAAAAGTTAATGTTATTAAATTTATTTTTTAGAAACAATTTTACTTGAATTTAGAAATAAATGTTTCTAATTGAATAGTTATTTGAATGCAAAAAAATTGCACCTTGATATTGAATTTGCTAGCAAAAGTTCAATGTTTATTGAAAGTGCGTGGCGGAGACAAACTCGCTTTTGCGAAATACTTTGAATGCTCTCCTGTCCGCAGCAGCAAAGGCCACGCTCTGTCGGAAGTAGAGATTAAAAGGTCCAGCCAAGATACGCAGGTGCCGCGCTGAGCTCTCATTTGCCTACAACATTATGTATTTATACACCGACCGGCCTGATTTATTCAACGCCGACGCCACATCCTTCCTTCCGTCCTTCCTGTCTGCGTGCTCATTTATTTTGAAAGATATTATCTTTTATTATGTGAAGAACAGCAAATTTTCAAAGCCAAATAATGCTATAAATTTAGTATAAAAAGCTCTTTCATAAAAATGTGTTTGGGTTAAGCAGAGGGATTGTTTTATTCACGCTGAAAAAAGCCAATTTTTCTTATGAAAATCTTTTCAAGCTCAGGTCAATTTTGTAAGAAAAGACTTTTTAACCCAAAATAAATTTAATAAAAAATAAACTGATTACTTAAAGTTAACCAAAATCTATAATAAAGTAACAAATGATAAGAGTTAATATATTTGACAATTATAATCTACATTAATTTTGGATGAGGAATTATTTGGGAATAAAAATTTTCATTTTAAATGCATAATATTTAACAGTTTTGTAATAATCAGATTAAATATGAAGATTTAGTAGTTAATTCTATAAAATGTCTACTCATTGTAAATATATGGTGTAAAATGTAGTATAAAATCTTAATTCTTTTCATTATATATCAAATTTAACTGCAAAAACTTTAATTTTTGAGATGTATCGTCAGTGATCAGTGATTTTGCCTGTGTCAATAGATATAATTTAAAACTGAATTGTCTCATGGTGAAGGATTCTTGAAATGCATGTGCGTATATTGGATTAAAATATTTGCCTCAGCATATTTTACAACTGACTCTTTCTAAAAATCCAAAACCGGTTGGCGTCCAATTGGATTTTATCTTGGTCTTTCCTTGTGCTGAAAGGATAGAGAAAGAGAATCCCTGCTGACGTCACCTTAAATACGTCTTGCCGTGGATTTCTCCAATGAAAGGGAAACCGCAAAATTCCCATTTGATCAAAATAATCATAATAAAAAAGACTTTTTTTTATAAATTTGAAACTGATTTGAAATAACCAACAAATCAAATAATACCAACGTTTGCCTAACCCTGAGAGCTGCTGGACCAGTGCGTGTTAATTCATTGAGCGAGATGAAGAATCCTTAAGAGTGGCGCGGGCCGCATGTGCGGCCCCCACCGCCGCCGCCGCCGATTCCCTCTTTTCCGAGATATAAAAGCTGCGGCCGGGGCTCGCGGTTCTTCAAGTCTGCGTGTGCCGCCCGCCGAGAGTTACACCAATTTTTCCGAGACTAATTTTGTTCTGTGGTGCGTTTTTCTTGACCTCACGAAGATGGCCACAGAGCAAAAGGCCGCCCCCAAGACGGCGGAGGCGGTGGCGGCGGAGCCGGCCTCGGTCGACTTTGACGACGTGTTGCCCCATTTGGGCGAATTCGGGCGCTACCAGAAGCTGCTCTTCCTGCTGCTGGCGCCGTTCATGTTTTTCGTCGCGTTCGTCTACTTCAGCCAGATCTTCATCACACTCACCCCCGACCACTGGTGCCACATCCCAGGACTCGAGTTCCTCACCCCCGAAGAAAGGTTAGTCGTGTGTGGAAAAAGTTAACTAAATCAAAAAGAAATTATAGCATAAATAATTAAAATTACTTAATTTGTGTAAATAATTGTTCGAATATTATAAAAAGTTAAAGATTTAAAAAAAAAATTAAATTGAAAGTGATTGAAGGATTTCTTATTCTTTTTACAACAATATGGTGTTAAATTTGCAAAATTTGTTCCATTTTTTAAGTGTTGATTTAACTAAACCAATAAGAAGTTCTGAAATAATTTGAAACATTCTCATTTTGATGGAAAAAGCAAACCAAAAATAACTATTGTTTTCCCCTTGTTAAAAATTTTTTTCTTTTACTTTTTCTAAGATAATTTTTTATCTCCTTTTTTGCTCTAAAGGAAACGTCAAGCACTTTTTATCAGAAAGTAAGTTTCCAACTAAGGGTAAAAATGAGAACTATTTTGTTTACTTAAAAAAAACCCTCAACTAAAATATTCCTCGAAGTCTGAACATCTGCAGGAAAAACCAGTAACCGCGAGACAATAAAATCCCCTTCTTTTATTCATTAACGTGATCGTGTGTGTGTCACTAACCTGCCGCTCTCATGTATAAAAGAGCACAATCGACAAAGAGCAATTGCAGAGGAAAACATGAAATACGCACTCGCGGCGGCTACTTTACATATTTGCACGCTTGAATGGCGCGACGAGCCTTGAACAAAGAAACTCCAATATTTGCCATTGTCTCCGCAATAAACTTGCTCTCATGTTTAATTTTTCGTTTAATTGAAAAGTTAAGGACTACATAAGGGAATCCCTTCTTAAGAAACCTAGTTTTTCACACCAAATTATGTAAGAAAAAAAAAACAGGAAGAAGTGCGCGGTATGGTCAATCCCAATACCACAAAAGCCACTTCCTTTCTGGTTTTGTCAACGAAAATTGAGGTTCATTGAGATCTAAAATAAAACTCTGGTTCAAAAATACGTATCTGCAGAATTAAATATCAGTTGACGATTAATTTTACCATTTCCAAGATGCATAAAAAATAAATCAAGATTTCTTTAAATTCATAATATATAAAAATCGTACTTGACTAGTTGTTCAATTTGATTATGCAAAAGTAATTTTACATTTAACATTACTTTATGAACTCAAGATTGAGATCGACAATGGATTTTATATATCACATTAAGAACTTTTAGTGCAAGTAGAATATTCGGGCCTTATTATTGCTAAATGAAATCATTAAAAATTACAATAAATTGGTCTTATTACGCTCGAGTGATTTTCAGTTCCGTTCTCGCATCTCGCAATTTGTGAAGTGGCTGCGGCGATACATTAAAGCTTGGCAAACACCTTGAATCGTGAGGCCGGATGAGAGGAAAAGTATAAAGCTGCGATGTGTGCCCTACTCACTGTACAATTGCTCAAGCGCGGCTAGATCCGTGCATGACTTTGAGCGAAAAAAAAACGCTCAAGATCGCGTTGGCAAAGGTGCATAAACTGCATTTACGAAAGAGTGCGCATGCATAAAATTGATTTAATTTGGCATCGAACGCTGCACTTTCGCTATTCGATCCAAGACACTCCCTTTGCTCACTGGTTACAATTTAATTGAATCTTAATCATGATAGAAAAATATAACTTGTTGCATTTAATTATAATAAAAACCTGTTTTTCTCCATATTAGTCGCAGCAAAGTGCGAATAAATTGTTACTTTGATATTTTTTTCAATGAAAGGCCGTTTTATAATTACGTGAAAAGACAAAGTGATCACGATCGATAAAAATTTTGTCTGCGGTAAACTTAATTTTAGCCCGATTGTCGTGACTTGAGCAACTGACCTTGCACATTTTTTTATCGCAATTAATTTTTTTGTTCATCCTAATTGGAAAGATTTTAATTTTATTGCTTCCGGACAAGGAAATGATACACAATAATTTCGTTAATTAATTAGCGGAGAAATAAATTCCTCCTTTGAATTGCGTAACAAGTTGATCGAATGCTTTTAAATTGCATTATATAAGCGTTTTATCGCATTTCAAAAGATTTAATGTGCACGCACGAATTGAATCACAAACTCACGTGAAATAATCTATCTTGTCTGCGGAGAAAGTGAAAATGTGGTTAAAACTGCGAGACTAATTCTCTCATAATCCACCTCGTCACGCTCTAAAACACGTTGTAATGAATTTTTTGTTTAAAAAAAAACAAGGCGCCTGGATGACAAGTGCGAATCGTTTCAAGTTCACGGTCTGAGAAAAAAATAATAAAAAAAAAAAAACAAATAGATAATAAAACACGCTCGACCTTCTCACTCTGCATTCACATTGAATTAATAATGCGAAATTGTGTCAACGCCGAGTTTGACACGGCAGAGTGAGAAACATTGAATGCCGTAGACGAAAATCGGGGGAAAAACAAAAAAATCCCCTCGAATCACGGCAGGTATTTTTATTAAGACGAGTTTTTTGCTCGTTAATGGAAACGAGCGAGACAGGAAAAGAGCTAATTATCGACTTTCAATATATTCACTCTCATTTTTAGATTCAATGTTATCAGCTTTTAAGTCTCCAATTTTTGGTTATTCGCAAGGCCGGTGACTAAAAATCACGTGAAAGGGACAAAAAATTAACCCTTAATTTTTTTTTTTTTTTTTTTTAATAAAGTATATTTATTTGAAAAGAAAATTACAAGTCCGGCCAACTCCGGCCAACTAATGAAGCATAAAAGGCGGCCAAACCAACTCGAGACAGGAGGAAATTGCGAGCGTTGAAGTCTCCAACACGCCCTCCGCGGTCGCAGGCAAAAAAGGAAGCATTTATTACATAATGCGCGGTTTTTATTAATTTAATTTTTTTCTCAAACATTTAGCCAAGGTTTGAAAGTGGCGGATTTTCTCTTAGCGCTAAAAACTTACTCAATATTAAGATTGATGGACATGTAAACAAAAGTATACACAGTAGTTTGAATTTACTTTCTCTTCATGGAAATCGCGCAATCACAAAAAGTTGTAAAATGACACTCAAGCAACATAGTAAATTAACTTTTAATCATTCATTTTTTTGAATGATGACATAAAAAAATTAACATAAAATACATAAATAATTATTACAAATATAAAAAAAATAAAAATTTTGTAGGGAAATGGAAAATGAAAATATTTTTCACCAGAGTCTACTTAAATGGTAAAATTAAAGCCAGAATTTCACTTTCGTTGCACCCACAAAAAAGTTGATTCTTTTAAGCTTGTGAGCGGAATGTATTGTACCTTACACCTGATCCTAGGAAGGATAAGATTCAAATATTTCCTCAGAAATCCTATTAGGCACCGCGGATTATAAACACGGTCGATCGGCTCTGCATCTGAATAGCTCAGTAAACTCGTTGACCTTGCGACGCGACACTAAAAATGTGCCTGAAAAAACGGTTGCAGTGACTTAATTCTCTGAAAGAAATAAAACCCTATATTTTAAACTCTACTTAAAGCCATTTAACAATTTGAGATATTTCTTGCAAAAAAAAAAAAGATTTATTTGTTAAGAAAATGAAAACATTTTTTACTTTAATGAGAAATTTAATAAATTTTTGTTTACAAAAAAGAAATCACACCAATTGGAAACAATCCGAGCGAGAAATTTGCAAATAACTCTGAAAATTCTCACGTCAAGTGATCGTTTTTCGCAGTCCATTTGCAGTTTGTAAATCAACGCCGCTCGTTCCAAGGTCTTTCTAGTCGTTATCAGCGATTTCTCATTAGCTTCGCTCTCGGGGCGAAAGGGAATATTCGAAGATAATTAACCATTTGTCCGTGCGTGTATTCTCGCCCTTGAACCGACGTAGCTGCAAAGTGCAGCCGAGCGCAAAATTGCCACGCACAGATGCAAAATGAATCTCGATCAAAGCGGTCCGGCGAGGAAATTATTGGCAAAAAACAGTGATCTCGGCAAAAAAGTTAAAATTTTCCCCAAGGATGGGAAAACTTTAATCACAATTTTAGGCACCAAATTTTAGAGCAAAAACAATAGCCATAATTTTATTTACATCTTCAAAGAATTGATTTATAAAAATCATTAAAAAAAGAATTTTCCACCTTCTTCTCTCAAAAAACTAGAGTCTGAAGAGTGAATTTTTTTCTTTTTTTTAATTTTAAAATCAATTCTTCCACCAATTTAATCATCTTCATGATAATAAATAAATTAAATTTTTACATTAATTACAATTAATGAATCTTTTATGAGAAAAACTATTAATCAAATTTATTCATGTTTTTGTTCCACAGAGTTCGCTTGGCCATTCCCGCAAGTACGAGTTCGCCGAACGGATTCGACATGTGCCGCATGTACAACGTCAACTTCACGAGGATGCGGCTCGAGGGACGCACGATGGCTGACCCGTCGTGGCCAACTGTAAAGTGCCAGTACGGATGGGAATTCAACTACACCGAGATTCCCTACTCGACCGTAACTTCCGAGGTACACGCGGACTTTCCCAGCTAATGACTCACATTACGAGAGAACCCCGCGGCTCATCGCATTAAACGCCAGTCCAGTCATTTTCCTGCAAACGCCACTTCCTCATTTCCTCTTTCCTGCTTCCAAATCACTTGATTTTTGTACTCAAGTTCATTCTGCGAATTAATTTTGATGATGTTTATTTTTTAGATTAGCATTATATTTTTCTTAGATATATTAATTGAATTTGGATAAACATATTTTCTTTTTAATCATTTGTATTAAAGAAAAAAAGTTGAGTTGGAAAAATGAAATAAAACCTTCTCAAAATTTACAAGATAAAAATAATAAAATTTAACGTTAGGCAACCAGCTCGATCAGAGTGCTTGGCACGTTGCCTATATTCACATTTGGGCAGGGTGATTTTGTATTATTTCCGCAATAAATTTGTGATTATTCTGGCTGCAGTTTGGATGGGTTTGCGACAACGACAGTTTGGCCACGTGGGCTCAGGCGATTTTCTTCCTCGGCGCCATCACGGGCGGTCTCCTCTTTGGCTGGATTGCCGACCACTACGGCCGAATTCCGACCCTCGTCGGCACCAACCTGGTCGGCTTTGCTGCCGGAATGGCCACCCCGCTCACGTCCACCTTCTGGGAATTCGCCCTTTGCAGATTCTTCGTCGGAATGGCTTTCGACAACTGCTTCACCATGATGTACATTCTTGGTGAGTACAATTAATTTTATCCATGAAAAAACTACAAGAAATTTTTATTCATAATTTAAATTGCTTTAGAATTTTTCTCAATTAGAAGATGGTGCTTTAAAAAAATAGTTTAAAAATAATAAAATTTTAGCGAATATTTTAAATCATTGTAGCTGAATAATAATTATCATATAATTTGCGATAGCCACGGCAATCTGTGAATAAAAAGCACCCATAATTATAATTAAATTCCGATAAATATATCCCACCATTAATGCGGTTTGAAGATCAAGGCTCAAAAATCCGTAAAGGGAATATTTCCACGGCGATTTAGATTTTGCAGAATGCAAGAACTTAAGCACCTTTTGAAGAATTGAATTAAATTTTGATCTCATTTAGAAATAAATTAATTACCACTGAATCGTCCAATACGTGCTTTGATGAATACAGTCGATAAATCTCACTTGCAACCTGAATAGACTAATTTTTTTTTAATAATAATATTTATCCTTTAAATACGTATAATTAAAATACTTGTCTTTGGCACCGATCGCAGCTCCAAAGCATCAAGAGTAATTTAAAAGCGACGTAGCCAGTAAATATTCCCAGACCTGGCGCTTTGGTAGTTCGATTATTAACGTAATAAGTCATTATTGTTAAATTCAACAATAGGACGACGTCGAATAAAAAGCAAATGGAAATAATCGGCCTCGTTGAGTTTGTCAAGTGCTGGTGGGCCGCGAAAATGTGGTCGTATCCACTGGAAAGTTTTCTCAGCGTTTCTTTCCTGTCTAAAGTCACTGCGTTCCTCAATTTAGTAATTCCCTCCTTAAAAATTTAAAATAATTTTTGTAAACCAATTATTTATCTTAATATTTATACCAAGAGAGTGTCGAGTCTGCTTGAAATTTGCACGTTGAAAAAAACCAGCATGTGCACCGTTGCCTCCTGCACTAGATGAATCAAAAAGTGGAAACTAATTTGTCGGCTCGTGTCGTTGGCCAAGGTGACGACGAACATGACGACGAAGGGAAGTTTGAAAGTGATGAAAATGGCCACGATTAGACTCGCATTAAAAGTTTCGGCGATCGTGCCCATTTCCTCCTGCGCTCGGAAAAGTCTCGTCATGACCGTTTCGACTATTTCGGTCGTTTTTCCACTGAACGGAATGACCGCGAGCGCGAAGACGCCGCACACGATTTTCGCCAGCGTCATCAAAGTGTAGCTCTTGATTTTTTCCCACCGCTCGACTTCTTGCGACTCGTCGGTCAGCAAATCTAAGTATCTGGACAAACTGGCCAGAATGTATTGAATGTAGCCGACGCAGATGAAGCCGAGCACAATTGCGTTCAAGAGCACATTGCGTTTGTCGAGCACGAGTTTTTTACTCGTGATGCAATTGTAGGGCAGAATCAGATGCACTTTCAGGTAGAACAGAAACACTGCGAGACCTTGCAGCCTTTTCTTCGACATCGTAACCTATTCTCTGAACGCGCGCACTGCCCAAATGGGGAAGCAATCTCGAGTCTTTATTTGGCCAATCGATTTCTTTGCATTAAATTTAGAACTGACAATGAGAATTAAAGTGCATTATTGATCTGTTAACGTATTTTGATGCCCACTCCATTTATTGTAATCGATTAATTGAGGAAATAAATTAGCAAAACCTAATGAAGGTCTCTACTATTAGAATATTATTGCTTTTCTGTCGCCACTTTTCAACATCTGTCGTTTTTCGATCCAGACAAGTCTGCCAGTCACCTTGATCAAAAGTAATAGCTTCTTACATTTATATTTATTTTTTTTATTAATTTCAACTAACGCACTCGTAATTCATGACGGCCGTTTGCATAAACTGCTCTTGATTGTCGCAGTGAAAGAATTCTAATTTATTTTATTAATAATGAAAAGCGTTAAGTGACATGCCGTGCGCAGTTAGAATTGCCCTTGAAAGGTGCGGGATTATAATGAAAAATGAAAACCGTGCCCTAGTTTTCTTGGCGCCAATTACATTTAATTTATATAGAAAAAAACATGCTATGAATTTATATGATTTGAGAAAACTTTAATTGAAACAAATATTTTGTGTTCAGTTTTGGAATATGTGGGACCCAGTTGGAGAACATTCGTTGCCAACATGTCCATCGCCATCTACTTCACCCTCGGCACGGTCATGTTGCCTTGGATGGCCTATTTCATCGCCGACTGGAAGCTCTTCTGCGTGGCCACGTCGATGCCTCTGCTGCTCGCGGTTCTCACCCCCTGGATTGTTCCCGAAAGTGCCAGGTACGATTGAAATTAATTTCAACTTTTACTTCGATTTATAATATAATTGTGCAGGTGGCTCGTGTCGCAAGGAAAGATCGACCGCGCCATCAAGATCATGAAGAAATTCGAGCGCATTAACAAGAAGAAAGTTGACCCGCAGATCTACATTGATTTCAAAGTGAGCATTGTTTGACTAAAATAGAAAGCAATTTTAACGCGGAAGCAATGAAAATTTATTCAGAGCAAGAAATCTCATTATTTCAACAAAACAAAATATTTATTTATTTAACAATTAAATTTTGTGGCAGGATTCTTGCGTCAGAGCGCAAAAGGAGGAAGACCAGGGCAAGTCGTACTCGGTGATCGACCTTTTCAAAACGCCGCGCATGAGACGCATCACCCTCCTGTTGATTGCCATTTGGTAATTATTTGTTTTTTTCTCCTCTCACATTTGCAGTGATTAAATTTTCGTTGTCACGCAGGATGATAGTATCGCTGGTGTATGACGGCCACGTGCGAAGCGTGGGCGCCCTCGGCCTCAACGTTTTTGTCACCTTCACCATCGCATGCTCCACCGAGTTCCCGGCCGACACTCTGCTGATTTTGTTCTTGGACCGCTGGGGCCGCCGCTGGCTCGCTTGCGGCACCCTCATCGTCAGCGGAATCTTCAGCCTGCTCTCCACCATGGTCCCGCAAGGTTTGTGTCATTTCAATCAAATCTCAAAAACGTAATTTTTCAAATACTTTAAGATAATATTTTAAATCAAACTTAATCCTAAAATAATTAAGCAAAATAAGGTAAATTTTGACTTTAAAATTTATACTTTTATGCTCAATGACTTGAGACACCTGCATACAAAATTTTCTAATATCTGCGCACTTTTTGATCCTGCAGTTTTAATTTTGATTTTCTTTTTAATTTCAGGAGCTGCCTCTGCTGCTTTGGCCATCATGGGCCGCTTCAGCGTCAACATTGCCTATAACATTGGTCTGCAATACGCAGCCGAGCTTCTGCCCACGGTTGTCCGAGCTCAGGGCGTCGCCCTGATCCACATCATGGGCTACGTTGCCAGCATTATGTCCCCCTTCATCGTTTACCTGGTAATTAAGTTTTAAAATATTTCAAGGAGAATGGATTTTTTATCCTAAATTAAAATCGGCCCAATTAATATTGGAGATGATTTTGATTACTTTAACTAATTTGGAGGTATTGAATTTTTGGATTTCACTGAACAAATCAAATTATGGCAAAATTAAATTAAACCTCTAAAAATGTTCATTGATCTTTCACTTTTTTCTCAAATAAGAGAATTTTGTAAACGCAATTTCAGGGTACCCTGAGCGCGACGCTGCCCTTCCTGGTGCTGGGCGGTTTGTCCATCCTGGGCGGCTGCCTGGCGCTCTTCCTGCCCGAGACGCTGAACCACGAATTGCCGCTGACCCTGCAGGACGGCGAGGAGTTCGGCAAGGACCAGAAGTTCCTCGAGTTCCCGTGCTGCGGCAACAAGACGTACTCGGACGAGGTCAACTCGTCGACTGAGGTCGGTCGCAGCACCTTCTACAGGGCGGACGCGGGCAGGTCTTCGGCGCGGGCGTCGATGCGCGCCTCCATCAGAGGCGAGACGTTCCGCTCGAGCATGATCGTGCGCTCGTCCATGATCCGCCACAGACAAGTCTCCAAGGACGACGCGGCCGCCGCCGAAACCACCCCCAGCAAGTTCCTCACACCCCCCGAGCTCGGCCAGATCGAGAAACAGAGATACTAGAGGTGGATAAATGTCACTACCAAGCGTGTTTCGTTACCTAAGCTCTAGTCATCAACATTTCTTGATCTAAGCGCCGTCGTCTATAGTATTTATTTGTCTCAAATTTATGTCAAAGATCAACTGGGAAGATAAATTTGATCCGACTTTAGATTTTCTTGTACAGTTTACGCTGCTGAAGCTCTATTATATGAGGCTGCAGACGAATGCATTTTAATTTCGAGGTTGTACGAAACAAAAATTTATGCATTTTTTTAGTGTATGGAACTAAAAAGCCAGTGCATTGCATTTTTCAAAGCCAAATAGTGGAAATGTTGCAGGGCAATTTATAGAATTATAGTTTTAACTTTTCAATAAAATAAAAATTGTAAAATTTACTACGATTTCCTCCATTTTACTCCTTAGAACATAAAACAACCCAAAGAAAAATTCTATTTTGGTTTTAAATTTTTATTATTAGCATCTAAACGAATGGCATAAATTTCATTAAAGTGTTTATATCTCGAGCATCAAAATATAAGGACTTGGTACAAAAATAATACCACAGTTGGTACATTCGTGAGTTTAAAGTGAAGACTTATAATGAGTTGCTGAACGCGCATGGTTTTTCTACAGGCGCAAACTAAATTAATTGATCTGCTTTGAAAGGAGCTTTTCCACTGCTAACTTTGGTAAGCGTTTTTAAACAGTTGCATCTTGGGATTTTTTATCACTAATGTCCAAAGCGGCGGCACTTCCTCCCTCCTTCGGAGCTTCAACTTGATTGTCCTTGGGTTTGTCTTTGTTGAACTGCACCAGGACGGCGGTCATGTTGTCACAACCTGTGCCGTCGCCACTCAAATTCGGAGCAAGGATTTCTTTGAACATCTGAAATAATAAAATTTAATAACAAATTCCTAGCCAGGATGAGCAGCAATCGCACCTGCTCAAGGATGTCATTCAGAGAAACATCCAAAGAAAGACGGTCCCAGACAAAGTTTGCCACTTCGTCAGAGGTCATGTCGTTCCAAATTCCATCACACGCCACAAAAAGGAACTTGTCTAAAATTTATTATATATGAAAAAAAAATTAGAATCAATTTAAATGTGGAAATTCTGGCACAAAAACAAACCTTCTTCTTTGTCTCCAGAAGAAATTTCTTGAGTAATTATGTCAGGAAAAGCAATGACTTCTTGTTTCTCAGCAGGCAGCTCCTTGTTGGCCTTGAAAACAAAATCTCCAAAGGCCCTCGAGAGGTTGAGGCCTCCGTCGACCCGTCCGTCGTCGTCCACCTCACCTCCAGCATTTTCGATGCGCTCCTTCTCCTCGGGCAGCTCAGGTTTGTGGTCCTTGCTCAGTTCGACGGCTATTACTTTGGTGACCCCGTCTTCTCCTTTCACCACACGACCCAGAATGGCCCTCGAATCACCGATGTTGGCCACGGTAACTTTGTCTTTGGCCAGCAAGGCAACAACAGCAGTCGTTCCAGACTCAATGCCAGGCTGAAAATAAAATCAGATAAATTAAGCATGGACGGTTAAAAAACTAATTGTAATTATCTAACATTAATTGAAAAGCAGTGATTTTTAACTTGATAATTAATTTTAAGTGAATGTTCTGCAATTGATTTTAATTATTGGTAAAATTTGTAAATCATCTGATTCTTGAAAGCACAAATTTGAACTCACAGTGCTATTGAGCCCGGTGAGGACTGGCTTCCTTTTCTTCGGAGGTGCACCTTCCTCTCCTTCCTCGTCGGAACTAAGTTCTTCGGCCATTCTCTTCCTTTTCAGATAACGCATCAGCCACATGTGCCCTGGAGTTTCATTTTCCATGTCTTCCTCGTCATCACCCTCCTCATCATCCTCGTCTGTGCCAGATTCACCTCCGCTTTCCTCGGACCCTGACGTACCTTCCTCGTCTTCACTGTCGAAAGTTTCGTCATCGTCCTCCTCACTACTTTCATCAGTTGATTCCCTGAAATTTCAAAGGTTAATAAAATCGCGTTATTTAAACACGACATTTCCCTACTTCTCTTCTTTGGACCCCTTTTCCTTGGGTGAGCTCTTCTTTCTTTCTCCCCTCTGCAAATGACACTCTTTGCAATTAATGGCTCTATTTTAGAGTTTAAAAAAAAACTCACGCCAGGTCTTCCAGGAGATCCTCCACTGCCACCCGCACTTGCAGGTTCGGCCACACCGGATGAACCTCCAGCTCCTGAGGAACTACCTCCTTCCCCTCCATTCTCTTCCGCCTCTTTATTCTCTGCACTGCCATTCACTTTTCCTGCATCATCTGAAAATTAACAAGAGAATCAATATTTTTCAGATCAATTGAACAAAACCCCGAAGTATCACCTTTCAATTTGTCCTTCATGTACTTCTGCAGGACCTTTTCCAAAGGAGTGCAGGCCTCTTCGAGGAGACCATTGACATCTTCAGGTTCAAAATCAGAGTCTGGAAAGGTTTTTTGTTTGGGAATTTGATTTTAATTATATTCAATAATATCCAACCGTTGGCGGCGTCGCCCGTGGACATGTTCATGATGTCCTTGAGTTTCTTGATGACTTCCGGGGTTCTGAGGGACTTGTCGAAGGACATGAAGGCCTCCTCGAGGGCCTCTTTGAAGTCGCCATGCTTGTACGAGAGGTCATTCTTGATGTGTTCGGGCAAGTTTTCGGCGCAGTATTTGGCGACCTCGAAGCCTCCGTGGCCGTCGAAAACGGCGAACAGAGAAATGTCCTTGTCTTGATCGAAATTCGGCAGACAGGCGTGGGCGTCCTGAAATGTCAATGTTCACGTTTATATAGCTTCAAAATAATTACACTGGTAAATTATGCAAATTAAGGCGGAAGGGTAATTCTCTTCTCGGGGGGTGAAATCTCGGACAAAAAGGATCATTTCGTTCTCACCTCTTGGTTGATCCTCCAGCCCTGCATGGACGCCGCCGCGAATTTGTAGAAGGCGCCTTCGCCCTGTTCACTTTCGATCTCGGTCGCCGGGTGACTCCGATAATTACCCATGGTGAGCCAAGTCACACTTCTTGACGGGCAATCGCGGTTCGCCGATTAGCAGCGTGACAAACGGCCGAACCCGACAAAGCTTTCCAGTTCGTCCAAGTCTTCTCACTTTGGCGTGGGCACGAGGCAAACACCGGCAAATTGTTCCAAACCAATTGTTTCTTCGCGTGCCAGGTTTCGGCAGGGCGGCTTCTAAAAAAAAAACGCGTTTGAAACCTCCTAGCAAAATAAGCGAAACCTCCTCGCACTCGCAGCTTTTCAATCTCAAAGCGCGGCAAAACATTGCGGACAGCAGAGTTGTTATTAGTTACGTTCAACAAGTTTATCTTAGGAACATATTTCCTGACTTGTTTTAAATCCTTGTTTTTGTACAATAACTATTTCAAAATAAAAAATAATTTGACAGAATCAATAAATAAATTAATAATATGCAAATAATGATGCTGACGAGGGATAAGGATTTCTGTAAAAATTGTTGCCAAACAAATTATAATTTATGAATTGTTATTTATTTAATGTTCTATTTCAAACTAGGACAAAACGGAACCACCACAAGCCAAAGAATTCTGCCAAATCTTCCAGGGTCAGAAAGACACCTCATCTGCCGCAATGAGCCCTTCGGTCGACAAAATAAGTTTTGTCTTACTTATTCATTTTGACTAATCATTGAGGGTATTATTTTGAATGAAAATATATTTCATTGTATTGTTAAAAATTATTCTTATTAATAGGATTTTCATCTTAATTAATCCAGAGGACTGAAAAAAATTCAGCGTAATTTAACTTCAGCCAGCCAGCATTTTGCCCAGGAATCCGAATCATGGATTGAAAAAATACTGAATGTTAATTTAAACTACTTTAATCATCCACTTTTGCAAATTAATTTTCTCAGTTCAATTGGCTTATAAGAATAGAACAGCCCAATTAAGGTCTCTTTTTTAGTACTGATATTGGAATTTTAAATCATTTAAAGAACCTCTGCTATTTAATATAAGCCGATTGAAAAAACATTGTTAGAATAAAAAGTAAGTAAAGAACTCTTAAACCATCATGGATTTTCTCGGCCTTAGGACTCGAGCTGGAGGGGTTGGAGGGTCACTTTTGGCAGGTGCTTCCTGAAGATCCATCTTCTGAGGAGCCTTTCTTTTGAGGGCTGAAGGGAGTGGCTCAGGGCAAGTCTGTGGCTTGCTTTGTCCTAGCTCGCTCTTCAAATCCTTGAGGGGAATGTTCTTCTTAGCACCTTTTTCATTGATGGGTTTGGAAGGGGCAGCCTTGGAGCTGCTGTTCTTCTTCTGGGAGCATTTCTTAATTGATTTACTGGATCCCTTCACACTCCTCTCTTCCTTTGTTGCTGGCACGATTGCCTTCTTAGCTCTAGTGTCTGGCTTGTCTGAAAATTTTAATTTTTATAAGATATTCATCGTGTAATTAACCCAAGTAAATATTCGGTTAAATTTGACATCAGCAAGCATTTAACTAAGGAATTTGAATCATGAATACAATAAATACTGTAAAAAACAGCTACGTTAATTTGCGCACGATATATTTGAATCCTCTCTTAAAAATATTATATTTTTAGTTCCATTAATATAGCTTTTAAAATACAAAATCAATCAGCCCAATGATCTTGTTTAAAAACAATTGTTGGAATACTGATATTTTTTTAAGTTGGAATTTCAAATAATTTAAAAATTTCTGCTATTTATTGTAAGATTGCTAATGTTAGAATGGAAAACTGCTGGAAAAGTCGAGAACTGTGGAACTCAAGTTTGTATGGATTTTCTCGGTCTGAGGATTCAAGCTGGAGGTTTCAGTGTCACCTTTGGCAGGTGATTCCTGTGGACGAACATCTATCTGAGGAGCTTCCTCGCCCTTTCTTTCGAGGGCTCCAGCGAGTGGCTCAGGATGACTCTGTGGGTCGCTCTGCAAATCTTTCAGGGGAATTTCCTTATTCTTGGCAAGGGCTTTTCTACTGATGGGTTTGGAAGGGGCAGCCTTGGAGCTTTTCTTAGTTGATTTGCTGGTTCCATTCTTCACACCCCTCTTTTCCTTTGCTGGCATGATAGCCTTCCTAGCTCTGATTGACGTGTCTGAAAATTTAAATTTTATTTACAGTGAACTGGGATTAAGACCTGATAATTTACGAGTGATCTGAGGAATTTTGGCCTTCTTCTTGAGGGTGGGTCGTTGTTTACCCAGCAATAGGAGCAAAGCTTTGATTACCAAAACCTTGGCTTTCTTGTGAGCAGGATCTTGACTATGAACATGAAATGCATTTAGCCATAAAGTTTTAATTTTGATACGAATCAAACCTTGTCCCAAACAAACTCAGGGCAGCAGTTTTCCAGGAAAATTTCCTTTGCTTGGCTGGCTTGGCTGAGTAAAAGTTGACTTTGGCATTGCTCTTGGAACCAAAATAAACCAGCTTGACTGGCTCTTCAGTCAAAGCCCTCTCTTCAGCTCGAGCTTTCTTGGGCGAAAATCCCTTGGGACGTCCACGTGGCCTCTTGGCTAAATCTGAGTAATTGCTAAATTTGGAAGGCTGCATTGTCGCGCCTCCCTGACTCTGCCTTTCCAGCATCATTTCCAGCTTGGTCCTCCTCCTCCTGATGAAAAAAATTAAAACTGTGACTGGAATTTAGGTTTGATTTCACCTTCTCTTCCTGGGAGTGCCCTCACTATCAAATGAAGACTCCTGCTCTGGCTCAAAGCAACGGCGCAGCAATTCCTCCGCAAGCCTAATTTCCTGTTCCTCCACCATTTCCATAGTTTTGGCATCAAGAGGCTGGCCAGCCACTCCTGCATCCTGTCAGAAAAAGAATAATAATGTACTTTTATTTGCACAAAATCAAATTAAAGTAATTAATTTACATCTGATTCTTCATAGAGCAAGGCACGCTGGTTCAAGTCATCAGCAGCCATCGCCTCTGCAAAGTCTTTTTCATTCACCAGGGCCTTTTCCTTCTCCATCCACTTTTTGAACTCGGCAACTGCTGCAATTGTATAATTTTTAAATAATATTATTATGATGATGTATAAAAAAAATTGGACGTGAAATTATACCTTTCTTCTGCAGCTCATCGTTGCCTGAATAAGAGTCGAAGATTTTTATCAGATTCATGGGATTTTTAACAAAGAAAGGACGGTAGATGCACTAGAATTTGAAAAATAAACATGCGCATTAGTTTTCTTTTGAAAAATCATTATTAATTCAGAGTGATGCAAAAATCGGACAATTTACGCACCTTTAAATTGTTGCACCTGATGTGTGCCCAGCCTAAGGAGTGAAATCTGAGGACGATCTTGCCTGGTTCATGATTTTCCTTGAAGCAGAAAAACGGGCAGACTTTGTTGAGCAGCGAAAGCGGCGGCTCATGCTTGTGCGGTTCGTGGTAGATTTTCCTGCAGATGTCAATCTTTTCCACTTGATTCATCTTTGCACTTCTAGAAAAACGAAATATAGAGAATTTAGCTCGACATGAAATTTCTCATGCAAAAGATGGAGATGGATTATTAAGATGGACTGCGGACTCTTTTTTTACCTTTCGGAAAATACGGTAAGCTTGAATTGAGCACGCGGTGGCAGAAAACCGATGCCGAATTGCAAGTCGGCAGTCGGCACAGGAAATGCGCGACGCGGGATCAGCGAAGCTCAATTTCTCCACTAATTCGCACTGGTCTCCAGTTAAGTCTGGCACTTTCTGTCTCGCCTCGTCTGACTCGGCTCTTCTCTTTTGCATGTGCGAACTCGTTCAACAACTCGTTCTTCCTTCGTTCGCTCGTTGGCTCGTCTGCGTCTGCGCGAGACAAAGACAAAGGAGAAGAATAAACCAAAACCTGCATGTACAATCGTGTATTTTCCTGCTCTGCGCCGTCAAGTCTGAACATTCCCACCGAACAGGCAATGTTTCCTCTTCACCCGCTCCACCCTTATCCAGTCGCGCCTTCTAAAAATAGAAAAAATTTCATGCACAATCATGATTATGAACACAAATCGCATGGACACTCGCTCTTCCGCATCACATGCACAAAATGTTCATGGCTTTTTTATGGCGCCACCAAAATGGACAGAAAATAAATTGAAAAATTAATCATACATTCAGTGCACACATCTAATTCAACATTTGTTGTTAAAACTCGATTTTATAATATTGAAAAAAAATTATTGAATTAAAAATTTTTTATATAATTTTTAAAAAAATAATCAGTTTTGCTTCTTACTTTACGATCTATATCTCTGCAGATTTCGCCTTCAATCCACTTCTCATTATGGCAGCAGCTCTAACTGTTTTTAATTATTATATGATATATATTTAATTCATTCTGAGATTTTGTTAATTTTTTTTGTTTTCCTCAAATACACAAAGATATTTGATTTGCTTGAAAAAGCTCTCATCTTTTTAGCTGTAACGTTAATGAATACGATTCCCAAATATAAGAGTTGCGATTTTATATCTACGAGAATAAGCAAATTTGTTTCCAGAGCTTGTATTTTCTTTGTCGATTTGTCACTGCTCCTTGTAATGGTGACGTTTCTTTGCAAAAACTTCTAGTTTCCTATACAAAGCGCAAGAAGAAATATTTCAACTTTACTTTTGAAACAAGCATATAATATTTGTTATTTAAACAAAAAATAATATAAATTTGATATGATAAATAATAAAATAAAATATCTTAAAAATTTGTCAAGAAAACTGTATTTCCTTAATAATTTTTATTGGTGTGTATTCTTTTGGCTCTAATGAATTAGTTTGCGTCCTTCTCATCAATCACAAAATAAAAAAGAACCAATATAGTTTTGAAACTGGAGAATGCATTTTGATTCGCTTTATTTCCTGCAGATTTTCCCATATTTTCCAATACCGTGTAATGTACGAAGTGGATGTTGGGGACACCCCGCGACCATTGTTCGTTCGAGAATTCAAAGGTATTTCCGCGTTATAATTGCTGTGAAAATTGAGAATGTACGTCAGCACATAATTATTCAGAACATATTACATAATAATAATAAAAACTGTGAATATATTTTAAGAATAATAAAAAATAAAAAATTCAGAGTAAAATTTTGAATAAAAACGGAGCTAAAAAAATAATTAGAAAAGCCATTAAGGTCGTGCGGAGTTCAGAGGAAAAATTGTTGTTTGCATTTGAAACAGTAAAAACGGGAAATTCCGCGAGGACGTATTTTACGTGCGCAAAAATTGATCACAAGTAGAATCGCGACAGGCACTCGGGGCGCACTAGTTACTCTTTGGTTTAATTCCGCCGAAGAACAAAGCACCTTTGTCAAAATGACCGCTTTGCAATTATCGCTCATTTCAAGTGCAATCATCTTGATGATCTTGACCGTATAATATGTGATCCACGATAAAAATCCTTAATAAATTTCTGGTGAATATTAAGATAAATTTCTTTCCTGCGGCAAGCGGAGCCGTCCAAATAAGAAAAGGTTCGCACAAATCAGCAAAAACGGGTATGCATCATTTTTAAATTATATTTAAAGAAGGTTCTCTTAAATATTCCTTTTTAAAGCATTTCCAAACAGAAGAAATAAGCAAAGAACGGCACTAATTATTTCTTGCTGTGGCGAAAAATCCTGCACAAATATGACTCGAAACACTCGAGCTACAACCATAGTAGATTTTCTTTCTGGCATGAAATATACGCAAAAGTAAAATTATTCAAACAATTTCAGCAAACCAGAACAGAGACTACACAAAATTCACCGCCAATGGAAATCTCATCAACATCAGATTCAATTAGTACTTTGCAAGAAACAAATATTGCAGCAGAGGTGATTACCGAGGCGGTAAATAACACCCTGAATGTATCCAGAGAAGTAAATTTGAATGAATTTTTATTTTATTTTCTTAATCTGAATTTAAGGAATTAATATATCCAAACTGTGACACTTCAACACAATTAAATGTAAACTTTATTATTTTATTTTTTTATTACATATAAATATTTTTTTAAATTAAAAGGCAGCTGCTTTTGATGCGGCAGGCAACCTCTTAGGTAAATAATTTTTATTTTTCTTATTTATCAGTTCCTGCTTTAAGAGAATATTATGATCAGATCCTGAAGATTACGGATTTTGGGTACAATCTTGCGATCAGTTGTTTTTGCTCGGAAAGACTTTGGTAAAAATTTCCGAGTCTCAATCATTTTTTATTTTTTATTTGGAGTTCAGGTGGACTGGCGGGAAAACCTGGCCACGTGCCGCAAAATTGGAATGGAACCACTTATGCTTGAAAGTGCGAACAAACTCGATTGCTTCAAATCGTTGGTTCAGGACTGGAAGTTCAGTTCCAACTACTGGAGCGCCGGCTTCAGAGTCGACAACGTTTCCGACCAATTTTCCTGGTGCTCAAAAACCGGAGCGATTTCTTTGAACAACTCGGAATTAATGCCGTGGGGCGCGAATCAACCGGAAAACGCCAGCCTCAAACAACACTGCTTGCGACTCAAAGTTCTAAAAACGGACAAAACGTTCTTCTTATTTGACGAAACTTGTGGAAAACCCCAAATGCTTGGCTGCCAAGTAAGGATTTTAATGAAATCGACACAAATGTTTTAATTTTACAAGTAAAATAAATTAGGGAAAACCAACTCCTGCTCCACCTTGCGGAAGTCCGTCTTGCCCAAATATGACTTATTGCTTAAGAAATGTGAGTAAAAATAAAATATGATCCTTCAGTTCATAGTTTCAAGGAAAAAATTATTTATTATATAATAAATTAGTGCAATATCGAGTAATGAATGTGGATTGATTGATTTTATTTGTCTATCAAAAGGACCAACTTTTTTCTGGCCTGGGAATATTGAATAGTATAAAAATATCCCTTATTTAATTAAATTTGAGAGCTATTTTAATTCAAAATTTTTACAAATAGATCCTGATTTACACGGAAACTGGTTCTCCATCTACGGCAGAAATTATATCTTCAGCTTCCAAAATGATACAAAAAATGCAAAATGATTTTAATTATTTTAACTTTTATTTCATGAAAATGGTTTGCAGTTCACAGAAGCTTTTTATTCTTGCTGCGGATTAGGAATGAAATTACTCAGCCTTGAATTTGACTTCAAATATAAATCCGTCATTGAAGCTTTGAAGGGTATTTAAAAATTTTAAAAAATAACTCTCTCATAACATATCTTCTTTCCTCTGTCACTAAAAAATTAAAATCCGGAGACCCCTGATTTTTTTTATTTATATTAAATTTAACCATCACTAAAAACAACTTAATAAAAGAAATTAAAAATTAAATTAAAAAATCTTAATCTATTATTTTATTTTCAAACATGGCAATTATGATTTTAATTATTTTGAATAATTTCAGCGAATATAACGACGGAGGATTATTTCTGGACCTCTGGAAGTGATCACGGCTGTGAATCAAAGTACAGTTATTGCAGCGTAAAGCGGAGTTTGCGAAAAGAGGCGATTTGGGCGCCGGGACAGCCGGACAATTGGAACAACAATGAAAATGGCATAGCTGTGTCCGTCAATTCTTCGCACGCACTCTTGTGGGATTTTAATGAGGAAACTAAATTCCGATACATTTGTGAAGTAATTTTTTTTTCAATATTTTTGAAAATTAATTATATTTATTTCTGTTTAGGCTCGAGATACGTCAGCAAATAAATCGGGCGGCACTGCTGCGAGGGACGAATGTGCGTCCATTTACAACATAAGCCAGAGTAATTAACTATCAATTCCACCTTAAATCAAACTTAAAATTTAACTATATCAGCCGAAATTGACGGAGTTCTCAATTTAACAAGCTACGATGTGCGCATCAAGGTCAAATAAAATTTTTACAAATTTCAAATCTGAAAATTAATATTTTTCACCATCAGTGTTTCCTCAAATGTGTTGGTGAAAGTTCCGGCTTGGTATAATAATTGCTAAGTAAAAACCGCTTTTAATTTATTCAAAATAACAAAAGATGGTGAGTGGAAAATTTATTGACAATGAAGTTTTGGCGATTTTGGAAACCTTGGCTGGCAACGACACTGAGGGGCTGAAAAAGAACATGGGCGAATTGGAGGAATGCAAAAGATATGCGTCTGGTTAAAAATAAAATACTACTTTTTAATAATTTTGGTATGATTTTTTAACTAATATGTTAGCTGGAATGGACGAATGCGATAAAGCGGCACTAATGATTCAGTGCGCTAACGAAAAGGAGCCTGAAGTTGTGAACAGCGTCATAAAGGAAATGGATCAAGTGCTGACGGCGCAAGTACAATCATTTGAAAAATTAAATTATCATGGTTTGAGTAATTTTTTAATAGCGTGGCAAGCGGGGTGGAGGCGGCGGCGGTGGAGGAATTCCAGTTTTAGCAGAAGCATTTTGTTACAACTCAAGTGCCTGCCAAGTGAATGTAAGTGTATTTTAAAAAAATAGATTAATTTTAAAATATAATCGTTAAAACAGGCAACTTTAAAACAAGAATTCGATTCAGCAACAAGTAGAATATATAAATTCCGAGTTTTACTTTTTAATTTTAATTTTTTAAATAAAATTGAATAATTTCATAAGCCGATTTCAACATTACTGATGGAACCGTGAACTTTTTGTGCGACAAAAAATATTTCGTCACATCCACCAACGTAAAGCTTCAATTTTATTTTATTTCTCGTGTGTTTTAATTTTCTTATTTTAATTGTCCAGATGAATTTTTCAAACGCTTTCGATCTATGCTGTCAGTACGGATTAAAACTGGCGTCAATAGAAAGCTCACAAGAGGTCGATTGCCTTGCAAATATGAGTATAAAATATAATTTAATTTAAAATTGTAATATTTCTGGTTTGTTCTCTCTCAGCCGCTTCGCTTTCTGCACGCTGGACATGGATTGCCGGAAGCAGGATCAACAGTACGGACAACCCTCGTTGGTGCACTTCGAACGCCACCTTCAACTTGAGCAGCTTTGCGGTGGTCCACAACAATTCAAACACCCTTCAAGGCAGCTACGTAATGTTGCCGTCAACAAAGGAAATTGTGGCGACAAACGGTTCAGCACTTCAATATGTCCTCTGCGTTTGAATTTTTGAATTAAAGAGAGTGTCATTTTTTAATTTGTTTGCTGACTTTTGAGAGAATTATTATTTTGATTTTTATTAATACCGTTTTATTTGGATTAATATAAATATTGGATTGCGATGATTTAAAATGGACCAAACTATAATAAAAATTGATTTATAAAACAAAACAATTTCCATAATTTCAATAAAGTGTGCACTTTTACAATAAATTACCAGCGGATTAATATTTCACAAACAATATTTTAAATAATTTGTTTTTATGCATGTTTTTTGTTTGGTTAATAAGGTCGATCCAGCTCATTTTTTTTTGTCATAGAAAGTTCAGCTTAACTTAATCCTAAAAATTTTCGACAATCAATTGAATGATTTTTTAAAATTGAAAGTGAAAATAATATGTGCACTTGGAGATTGCTCCACTGCGAAATATCATAAATATGTCGTTCCAATAATTAACTTGTGTGGTTCTTTTATGCCAAAAGAGAGTTTTCTTAAGTATCAATCTTAATAATAATATTTTATGCCTCTCAGATCTCAGTTTACAAATAAGAGGGTGACCAACAGAAAACCAAAATTTTGACAAACTTATCTGTGTTTTATTGAGAAAAAAATTTTATTTAGACCGCGATTTTGCAATTTTTTCAAGCAGACCGGCAACGCTCGCGACTAAAAGTGTATTAGACCCAAAAACAACAAAATTTTATATAGACCGCGATTTTGCAATATTTCAAGCAGACCGGCAACGCTCGCGACTAAAGTATTTGACCCACACGACAAAATATTTGACTCAGACCCACGTTAAAACTTTATTTAGACCAAGGACAAAAGTTTATTTAGACCGCGATTTTGCAATTTTTTCAAGCAGACCGGCAACGCTCGCGACTAAAAGTGTATTAGACCCAAAAACAACCAAATTTTGTATAGACCGCGATTTTGCAATATTTCAAGCAGACCGGCAACGCTCGCGACTAAAGTATTTGACCCACACGACAAAATATTTGACTCAGACCCACGTTAAAACTTTATTTAGACCAAGGACAAAAGTTTATTTAGACCGCGATTTTGCAATTTTTTCAAGCAGACCGGCAACGCTCGCGACTAAAAGTGTATTAGACCCAAAAACAACAAAATTTTATATTGACCGCGATTTTGCAATATTTCAAGCAGACCGGCAACGCTCGCGACTAAAGTATTTGACCCACACGACAAAATATTTGACTCAGACCCACGTAAAACTTTATTTAGACCTAGACCCCCCCCCCCGCCAATTTAACTTCTCTCCCTTATTATAAGATTGAAGTTTTGTACAAAATGTGCTCGCAAGCAAAATTGTGGTTTGTATTTAATTAAAAAATCTGCGTTCCAAAATTGTTGTCAAATTTTAGATTATAATATAATTTGGCTTTTCATCTGCAATGCAATTTTTCTTTTTTAAAGTCTGATCTAATATTATTGATTATTTTTATGTAATAATTTTTCTACAATTGAGCTTAGTTTAATAAAAGTAGTTATTCTTATGTCTTGAGAATGGAAGAGATGCTTTGAAACAAAAAACATCCTGTTCAGAGAGGCCCATATTAGGAGAAGTACATTAAAACCTGGCTCGTCCGAACTTTGGTTTCATAACGCACACAATAGCCGACCAAAGGCCCAACAGCCCTGGATATCTCGAGCAGAGGCGCCAGAATTTGGGGATGCGGATGCAATTTTATGCACCTCAGGGTGGCAGCGACTCATATGGGAGCACCCCACATAGCACTCTCGGGTGGCAAGCAGCGGCCGGTGCAAAATGCTGATGGCATGATTTTTTCGTGTTTTGCGATAATGTAAAAATAAAATTGTATTCATTACAGAAATTTACAATGTTACATGCTCAAAACTCAAGCTTACAAGGAATTATCTTTTTTCATTTAATATTGGTACGATATTTCAAAACTCTCAATCCCATTACATGCAAAAACGCCTACAACTACTTCTTTATTAAAAAAATCCTGTCTCTTGAGAATGCTGTAATACAAAAAATACAGTCCCTCCTTTTTATTTAACATGTTTCTACACAAATGAAGATTCGCATATATCTCTATTGACTTTGATTCACTTACTTAAAATTGATGTGAAATTTATAATTAAAAAATTATTTTAGAAAATGTTTTAAAAAAAATTATAACTCAATTTAAATTGCGCATTCAAGTAAAAAAAACACAATAACTGTTGAATTATTCAACAGTTGTAATAAGCACCAGCCGATAAGTCTTTGGCCCGGATATGGCTGGACTTGTAAAATTAGATCAAATAAATACGTCTCTTGTTTCTCTATTTCATAAAAATAACTCATTCTCTCCATTCGATACATAGTCATTAATTGGTTTTTATAAAACAGATTTCCTTTAAAATGTTAATTATTTCCTATTTTTTGTGAATTGTGTTTTATAAACTTTAAAAATTACAGAATCGACTTTTTGGTTGGATGAAGAAATTTTGTTTAACGCTGCTTATGCGATGGAAATACCAGAAACATAGTAGTAGTGTACGGCGGGACTCGGTCCCGATGCTGACGGGTCCCCGCAAGTTTCCGCGGGGCCGGCACCGTTTTCTTTCAGAGCAGCGGGAATTGGATGGGACCGGGAAATCGGAAATTGAAGGAGGAGTTTAAAAAACAACCAGTTTTCAGATCCATGTTCTGTCAAATGTATTTAAATTTTCAAGTCAAACACTTTAAGTTTTTCAATAGGATATTTTTCACTCGCCCCGCACTTCTTATTCTTAATAGTACAGTGTACTCGCCTCGCATACGTCGCACACTCGCACTTATGTACTTCCGCATTTTGTAAATAACTAATAACTTTTTGTTTGGAGAAGTTGACACTCGAGGAGATGATCATGGAAATGAAGCGATCAGGCTTTTCCTCGTTGCAGATAATTGTTTTTTATTCAAAAACAATTGGCTCATTTGTTTTTAAATAAGAAACAATTTTCTGCAACGAGGAATAGCCCGATCGCTTTCATTTCCAACAATTCCAACTAATAACTTTATTTTATATGATTTTATTTTTACCAATTCACATTCACAGTAACACTAGTCATACGCACGCGATAACAATAAATTAATTATATATTTTTAAAAAAAAATAGATACACTTATAATTAACATATATAAAAAATATATATGAAATCATGATAATATTTAGAAATGAAGAAATAATATATAAATTTTGCAACACGCAGTACATGCGAGTATTGCTAGTAGCAATTTGCATACCGCAAAAACTGCGGATTATTTATAACTGATTTCGGAAATTGGGATGGGTCCGGGAATTACGTTTTGGGCACTCCCAGGAAAGGGATCAGATTCGAGAAAAGTTTTGGAAAAAAAATCGCGGGGTATACAGGACGTGAAAATTTTCACTTTTGTGAGTAAAAATAAAGTTAACTGTCATTCATACACAAATGATTGTTGTTTGCGGTTGTTTGTTCGTTGGGAATATCTGTGAGTTCATTTTATTATGCAATTAAAAATAAATTATCAATTTCTAAATTGTTATATAACAAAATCATTTTAAAGAATTTTGGTTTGCTGTTGCTCCATAATTATTTTTGTTAATAATAGTAATCTCAATCTCCATGTACGTGTTTAAAATATATAAACTATCAGATTTATTTGATTTTTAGAGGGTAATGAACAAAAACTTAGTCAACCGAGGCTCACTGCGGCGGATGGGGTCTTTTTGATTTCGGAAGTTTTAGCAAAATTTTTGCTAGTGGTGCTGCCTTTTTGTCCAACAATCTCTTTTTCTTAAATAATTGTTTTTCAATAATTGAATGTAAACAATGTATTTGTAACAATGCGGACAAATAAACAACAATAATAATAATAATAATGAATATTCAAAACATTTGGACGATTTTTAACTCATAATACAAAAACTATTATGGTAAAAATGTTAAAAAATTTATTTATAAATAAATGAAAAGTGGAACTGGACAAATCAGAATTTAGATTAAATTAATGTGCAAGTGTGTAATAAATGTATTTGTGCAATTTTCTTTTATTATAAGAGCAATAATTGGGTCCATTAATTAATAAAGCAATGCTTTATTTTCAATTTTGCTAATAATTGACTACAGAGTTCATAAAACATCATTAAAAAGTCAGAAAAACGATATTAATACATTAATGAGAGAGAGAAATTAATGCGATGATGTAAAACGTAATTTTCGTTATATTTATTTTGTTATGTGGGCAAAGTCTGCCGCTGTCCAGACTTTTGTTCACATTCGCTCTGGAGGATGGAGCGAGACGGAGCAGCAGCAACAGCAGCCACCAGCAAGTGTAATTTCGCTTTCGTGTTGGTGCGAAAAACAGCGAAATGCACATTACAGTTTTATTCAATTTATTCTGTAGAAAGAAGCAAAGAAAGAAATAAAATTAAAGTGCATAAAATATATATCAAACTGAAGCAGCGATCGCGCTTTCGTAAAACCACGTAAAACGCAATCAGTCAGATTTTGCTTTTGCTGGAACCCGCCAATCGTCTCCTTCCCGCCCCGTAGAGTCGCGCTGATGTTCTTTTGTTTTATCAGCCCAAGAGCAGGAGAACCCGAGTCACCCGCGGCGAGAAGCTCGAGTCGAGCGAACGACAGACGAACCATCCCGCGGACGACGTCTCACAAGAAGGAAGAGAAAAAGAGTGGACGCTGAAGACTCATCGGACTGTCTAGTTGGACTCTGTGTGGAGTGTGTGGAGTGTGTCACTGCGGAAAACAACTTTCTGGACATTTTGTGACTCGACGCCCGACTTTTCAGGAGCTGTGCGACCAGCCCAAGCGCGCCGCCGCGATCAAATTTTGCGGTAAGAATTCTTTTTTTGCCGGCCGGAAAATTGCGAACAGTCTGTGAGCCTCACAATTTTAATCCTTAGTTTCACTACGCATTATCATGAAAAGCTAAATTTGTCGATTTAAAAAAGATAACGGACATTAGTAGGAATGATCATCCTTTATGCATCTTTTCCCCCAAATAATTCCATACCTTATTGTCTTAATTTGCTATCTGCGAATAGATATTGGTGATCTTTTGAT